TCTTCTTATAGTAATGTCTGTATTACTTTGTAAGCTTTAAGCCAAGTGTTTACTAAGTAGAGCTCTCTATAAATTTATTCCTGTATAGAATTTTCTGTTAACTACTAGTATTTATAATATAGAGTAAAGTGAAAGAGAGCTACTTTAGATTCTATAAGAGATTTAGTAACAGTCTCTAGAATTAGCTAGTAGTGTATCCCTTTAATTTTGAATGTAGGCACCTTCTTCTTACTCTGAGTTTAAGTCTTCCTGTCTTTAGTAAGTAACTTAATTTCTATAAAACCTTTATACTAACTGTCTTTAGAAGTAATATAGTATTTGTCAGACTAGTATTTAAAACTGTTAAGACTATTGTTTGTGTACTTAGAGTTGTAGGTACACAGATCTTCAAGCCTGAATTTTAGATTCAGTAGTACTTACTTAACAAGGAAATCTATCTCTTTATTAGTCTTTAATTTTACCTTATAGTTTGTCTAGTTGTTTAGAAGCTAAAAAGTTGTATTCTAGAAAAGTGTATAAACATTTGTAATAATAGACAGTAGTAAGGTTTCAGGTGCAAGTCTTTTAGGAGTAGAAACTAATAAGAAATTATAAAAGTCTTTAAGATTAAGATAGTTATTAGAGTTATAAGTAAGAGTATTTAAGTATATTTAATAAAGTTTATACTTATTATAAGTAGAGATAAATAGAGCTTAAAAGACATCTTTAGAGCCCTCTAGAGTTAGCAAGCAAGCTTGAGGGGACAGAGAGTAAAGCTGAAATAGTATAAACTTAGTAAGATGTAAAAGAGAGGTAGTAGGAAGGATGACTGTGTTAAAAGTAAATAGTAGAAAGTTAGCAAATTGTTTAGACAGTCTCTTCTTGTGTTTTGTACTCTCTAGAAGCTTAACAGGCATATTAAATAGAGAAGGGATAGTATATTCTTCTACTATAAAGGTCTGTGTCTTAGCTATACAAAAACAGTAAGTATTACTTAAGAATTAGGATACTATTTAAACTTACCTTGTTTTTACTTCTTTCTCTTCTTTACTACCACAATTCTAATCTGTTTAAGAGTATTCACATTACTAGAGCTACTTGTACATTTACTTTAATGTGTATTTAGTACAATAGTTAATGAGTAAGACTTTCTACAAGTCTTACACAGAAATAGTATCTAGTATAGTAACAATTGTAAGATTGTCTAATAAAATTAACTAATCTGAATAACTCTTAGAATAATAAATTAGTATAGTATACTTTAGTTTAGTTAATTCTCTAGTTGAATACAGAGAGTGTAAGATTAAGAGTGTAGTAGACAATTTTTACAACTTAGACTCAGACTATAGTTTCTTTAATAAGTCCTTAAGAGAAAACACAAACTTAATATAGTTTAACAACAGTTAAGACAAGTACTTATAGAATGTTAGGTAAGATATATATAAGGAAAGTATAGTTAGTTAATATTAAATAAAAAAAACTTGTATATTAGAGACACATATAGACTTAGACATTTTGACACATAGAGACACAAGTGTATACAGTTATATAACTATAACCTTCTTATTTTAGGTACAAATATTACTTATTTTGGACTTTCTCAATTCATACCCCTTTCTCAATCTATGTTCTTAATATTCTTACTATCCTGTCTACCTGAAATTGTCCCTAACTATATAAATACTTTAAGCTTAATTACTTACTCTTTACTCTCTTCATTTTATATCTAAACTTACATACATTGTATGAGCTGTAATTATTTACTAACAGACTTACATACTTATCTACTCTTATACTTACAGCTTACTACATTTTACACTAATATTACTTACCTTATTATACACTAAGTAAGTATTGTTATCTCCTTATTGTGTTGTCTACTACTCATCCCCTTCCTCTTACTTTCTTATTCTCTCTTGTCTCTTATATTCACTATTTATCTTTGTATACTAGTATAGAAAGTAACATTATTACTACTTCTCTCCTAGTTAGTACATTTCTGCCTTACCTTAAGTGTAGCTTACTAACATTTGCTGAAAAACTCTCCTTCTATCTCTAGGACTCACTCTCATTTTATTCTCTAATCTTAATCTATCTGTATCTTGAGTAGTAGTAATAATACTAGCTAGTTCTAAGTATTATCAACCTACATTGTTGACTCTACCCCTACCCTCTCCTAATTAAGGTGTACCTCTAAGCTCAGGCTTGAGTACTCTATTACTACTAACAAGTAGTAATCCTCTACTAAAGAGGTAAAGGATTGTTACTAACAAGCTTGTAACTGAAAGAGGATGAACAAGATTTGAGTAGTAAGTTGTTTTGTTTCTCTGTTCTATTTGTCTAATACTCTAACATAAATCTTTAGACTACTAAATATAATGTATGCTTGAATTGTATAGCTTAGTAGGATTATTATACAGAACATAGACCTTTAGGTCAATATTCTGTATACTGTATCTGTAAGGATAATTATAGAGTTTCTTAACAATTATAAGGAACTAGACAAAACAAACAAATAGAATAGTAAGAGTAAGAGTAAGGGTAATAAAGAAAGGGAAGAGCTAGAAGAATACAAGGCCAAATGTGAGTATAGGATTAAGAGAGTGTAAGTAATAGTTTACATATATACACATTAAAAAGTAATTACTGACAATCCCTTATTATTAGTAAAAGTAAGAAGAACACACTTGTAAGAGTGTATAAGAGCATTTATACACTCCTTAACAATGAATAGTCTTACATTAAGACCTTGAACAATACTGATTTTAATAAACTCTTATAATGTGTATGTACTTTGTCTGTATTATTATTTCCTTCTTACACACAACACCTGTTACACTCTATATTTTGTAAGTAAATTGTACTAGTAAACAGGCCTGTAACAGTAATGTAGTAACAATTAAGGATAAGGGGAATTCTTATGTCCTTAAAGACAGATAGCCTAATCCCCCTCTTAAAAACAAGGATGACAAATCTAACTATAGTACAAGTTACTCAGATCTTCTCTAAATGATTGTATTAATGTATATTCTCTATAAGAACAGAAATAATGTAAGGTAAGCACTCTATAAGCAAAACCTTCTAGAGTCAAGAAAGCCTTATTAACAATGTCTTCTCTCTTAACCTTACTGTTCTCACTTTCTTTTCTAGTTTTGTTAACAATATTAAGGCAAAAAAATACAGGATAACACATTAGTCATTCCCTGTGTTTCTATACAACCTTAACATGTTTGACTCTACAACAACAGACAAGGGTCTTTTCTAAGAATATTATCTAGTGTAAGTAAGTACTCTAATTAACACTAATGATTATAGTTTATGAATAATAATGTCCTTTAGGTTCTCTACCATATTTTTACTACTCCTACCTTTACAAAAGTAGAAGTCAGAATAAAAGGAAAGTTGACACAACTGTGTATCACAGAAATTGGCAGGCTCACAGAAGTTAGCCTAGAAATGATAGTATATACTACTTGCTAGATGAGTCTCAAACTAAGAATACTGTTCAACTAGTTATTACTATTGGTTACTTTCTCAATCTATAGAGGAAACACTTTACATTCAAAGTAGCTAATCAGTTATTTTCCAGGCATGTTTTTTTATCTGTAAACTGAACACTTAGAAGGATATTAATGAGAGTTTTAATGTGAAGGCATTTTATTATCTTGTTCTCAAATTCTTTGAGAACCACAACTTGTAATAGGTTAAGGAGACACTTTTTTAGTAGACTTAGTAAGTTTTCTTTTGTTTTTCATTTTCATTTTACTTTACAACTACTAAACTAAACTACAGGCAAGTATTCAGATCCTCTACCCAGGAACCAGCCTAGGAACCCAAAGACATTAATGACAAAATGTTATTCACAACTGTCTTAAGAGTACAGAAGGCATGCAAAACAAAGCAAACATTCACAGGTGCTCCCCTAATGTAAGAAGACATTTCCCAAACACAAGAAGACAACTCTGAGACTGAGGATGATGAGGATGGCAAGGAAGATGCTTTTGAATAAGGATTCTAGTAAGTATTTTTCTTTTTTTTCAAGAGTAGTAGGTACTAATGTCTAATACAGTACTAGAAGGTAAATCTACCATCTTACATTGAGTCTGGTAAAGTTAACATCACTTTTTTGTATTACTTTTATGTTTCTAATAATGAGTGACTGTAGGATACAATTTCTTCAAGCTAATAGCACTCTTGCTCACTACTTCCAATGTATTCTTGTTCTGTATGATTCTCTACAACTAGTATAATTATTTCTTGATGTCATTCCACTCTACACCTTCTGCACACAATTATTATATAGAAATAATAAAAATAATGTAATATTAGTATGGTTTTGTAACAATAAAGCTATTACAATATTTATAATAATATTATAAGGAATAATAAGTCAAATGATTAAAAACAGGACTTTTAATAACTTATAATAGATCTATTAGACTTGTTGTTCTATTATAATATCTATAAAATACTTTTAACTAAACAACTGTAATCTAGTATAATTGTATTTACTTATACAAATTGTAATCACTCTATTATAATATGCTGAATTAATTATTATTGTTCTATCTTGTAATTTTGGAGATATATTATAACTACTTATATATCTCAACAATCAATACAACTATATTTGAAATTGACTACTTGTACAAGTGTTATAAGTTTTTAGTATTACTATAATCACTTATATATCTTGACAATTTGTACAATCATAATTAATATTAGTAATTTTAATAATTGTTCTAGATTCTCATTATACTTGTATTAAATTATAATTAACTTGTGAAAACCCCTATGAAGAATATAATTGCTTTAACAAAATTTACAAAAAGTATAAAATATACCTGGTTATAATCTAATACAAGTGTTGCGACTTTTTCGTGATGTAGCCTTAAGCCAAGCGTCACGCGTGCAGATGAATCAGCACAAGCTAATTCTCACAGCTTCCCATCGCCCAATAGAGCAGCCTTGAATTTATAATTTTATATGATGTTTCTTCTTCCTCTTCTCCTCGACCTGCAGTTTCTTGCAGCACAGTGTTACACTTACTGTAAGAATGGCTAAGGAAGAACTAACAAAGACTGTGTTTACACCGGATAATGTTGCAAACTCTGAGCAACTCTCTGGCATCAAACTTTCTCCCGATGCTAAACAACTTCTGTATCATGTGAAGCCAGCGTACAAGACTAGTGAACACGACACTTGTTCCATCTGGTTAGGCGATGTAGGCTCTGCAGACAGCGCAAGACAATTCACTTCGGGAATCTTCAATGACCACTCTGCTCGATTCCATCCGGATGGCAAAAGGATCATCTTCCTATCTGACCGACACAAAGCTGGTGGTCCGGCGCAAATCTACTCGATAAGCCTAAGTGGAGGCGAGGCGTCTCCACTCTTTGGCAAGGATAATAAATGTGCAGTGTCCGAATTCGAGATATCGTCTGACGGGAAGTACATCGCATTTCTAAGTGCAGATGAACCGACTCCCGAAGATGAACGCCGGGAGAAAGAGAAGGACGACCCCCAGGTTTTTTCAGATAAACGGAAGTTCAACCATCTTAGGCTGTACAATTTTGCCACCAGAGATGTACGAGGACTCAAAGCAACGAACGGGAATCATGTCTTTCAGCTTGTATGGGCGCCTGACAGCAAGTCCATCTTTTTCCTCACGAGGGCCCATTCTGCTCTGGAATTCAGCTCAGAGAAGACAGATCTCCAACGAATATCTGTTGTGGTGGATACTCAGCCAGAAGTCATAGGCAGCTATCCACATTCACCATATGGCTTATGTGCTTTACACGACGGGCGGATAATCGACATACAGACTCATGATCTCATGCGCTTGTCTGACTCAAAATCAGTGTACATCCGTAATGTACAAAACTTCAATGAGTCGAAGCGACTATATGGAGAAACTAATTGCGCAGTACGCATTGTGGATTTGAGGAGCGATGGACTTATCGCTGTAGAAATTGCCGAGGGTCTGGATATTGTCATACTGAGCTTCGATACGATGGCCCATAATGGAAGCACCGTTTATTCAACAAAGGATGAAGATATCGAGAGAGGCTCGTGGGACGCACGGAAGCAGGAAGATGGGGCTTTCATTCTCGCAGTGATCAAGAGTTCGGCAGTCCGCCAAGAGCCTCCTAATGTTTGGACGGGGACTAGGAGTAGTAGCGACGGTCTCGTCAAACTCGATACAAAGATATCTTCGCATCTGAAATGGACGACAGAAGTGCCAATCATGCATACCGAGCCATTTTTCTGGGATGCAAAAGATGGGACGAAGCTCGATGGCGTTATCATGTTTCCACCCTCCAATAAGCAGCCGAATCCTCCGAGAGCACTTCCTACAATCATGCTTGTTCATGGAGGTAAGCCAAATTGTTCATGATTGTTGGCGCCGAATTGATCTGGTTTTATCACAGGTCCATATTGGTAAGTTCAACAATAAAGACTAAATATACTTTCATTAGCGTACATTCGACAGGCGTAGCACTCTAGGATATGTACCAACGTTTTATAACTGGCAGTTCCTTCTAGCTGCGCAAGGTTTCCTGGTCATCTTACCGAACTACAGAGGAGGTCAGTAATTCATCCCACGTTCCCGCCTAGACTGTTAATAAATAAACTATTTCATAGGTCAGGGACATGGTTTTGAATTCGCTCGAGCTGCACATGGTGGTATGGGCACACTTGACTGGAGTGACTGTGAAAGTATGCTCGATGCCGCGATTGAACGCGGGCTCGCGGATCCCAATCGTCTGGGGATTGGGGGATGGAGTCAAGGCGGCTTCATGACAGCCTGGGGTGTCGCGACAACGAAAAATCGATTCAAGGCAGGCGTCATGGGCGCAGGGGTAAGTGACTGGGGCGCACTAATGGCTTCGTCCGACTTGCCAGGCTTTGAGGTATGTTATGATACCGCCATTACGAACCTAGTTCTGACAAATCCGATTTGTTCTCTGCAACATCGATAAGGCCGACCTTGGAGGATGCGCGCCGTGGGATACGGCAGATCCTAACCAACGCATCGATTTACGTGGAAACCCTATCGGGCGAGTCGCAGGCGTCGAGACTGCTGTTCTCATTCTCCACGGAGAGAAAGACGAACGGGTACCAGTGACGCAAGGAATCGAGTTCTTCCGCGGTTTGCGTCGAAAGGCGAAATATCCTGACCGCGCCCAGCTTGTTATCTATCCTCGTGAGCCACACAGGCATGTCACCATCGTTTTAGAAGCCGGAGAAGCCAGACGCTAATTCGCCTTTATTTTTACCAGTTTCGTAGAGAAGAACCATGCAAAGGACGTGATGAAGCGCGTCATTGAGCATTTCGGTGACTGGCTCTGAGTTGATCGACAGACCGAATGAAGGTAATATTCTGAGAAGGTAATTAGAAGTTCAATGAAGCTGTACAATTCGGTCCTGCAAAGAAATGAACGAATGGCATTCTGTACCAAGTTCCCGGAGAAAACATAGGCAGAGAAATCCTCTGGCCATATATCAAGTAATCGCACAAGAAACGCTGCTATAGTGAAGCTAGCATAGAACGGGGGGGTTCATAAAATTAATGCTAGCAAAGCAAGAGCGGCGACATCACGGAGGTTTATCCACCTCTTTATCTAACCTCCTTCGCTCGATAGTATAACATTAGAATGAAACGGACAAGAATGGAAACAGAAGCTGCTACATCTTTGCGGGCTTGGGGCATTCTTATTGAGCCACTCTTCTTACCCGCCCATGACTAAGATCTCTGAGATAAAGGCATTTTGGACATTGCAAGCTAGCTTCTTTTACATGTGATAAAGTATGCCGATGACGAGCTAGTTAGACTATCAGAGGAGCACGAGGGCGACAGTAGTGACGGCAGACGCCCCCAGAACTGCATAACCAGTCGCGTAAGCACCTTTCAGTGTAAGGACTGCGGAAAGGCATATTAGTACCATGTAATATATAGAAGTATTGTGGAGCAGAGAATTGGACGCACATTTACCGCTATCCCATGCAAGATGACGGAGACCGTTCCAAGAGTGGAAGGCGAATGGTGCAGCTAGGAGAGCCTTTCCAGCATATTTAACACCCTCAGGGAGCGTGGAAACGAGCTGAATGACGTCTGTGCTGCTGAATGGCGCACCGACCAGCGGGAAAACAACGTATGAAATAGTGAAACCGTACAATACTGCGAGAATAAGCAGTGGCAGAAGTGGCAATTAGAAATCCAAAGTGCAATGCGAGAATGTTCAGTTGGAACATACAGACGCTGAGAGCTGTCCCAGTAATGCGGTTGGCAATCGATCCGTACCAGGTGAGCTGAGGTTGGTAGATGGTGAAGTGTGGACTAGAGGGTCGCTTGAGTCTCTGCGAATTCAGAATATCATTCGCTTTTGCAGGTTGCTGAAATTCAATTTGGACTCCTCTGGAAATATATAGGTAATTTAACTCGTATAAGAAGAATCCGCTCATCGGATGCGCTCACCGTTTGAAGACAGAGTTGCAGAGGAGGGCATGGTTTCGGGCTGGTGCACGCATTATCAGTCTCAGTAATCGAAATACCAACACACCCATTTACCCAAGCTAGATCTGAACGTCGCACGCCTTAAGGCCGGTGCTAAGCCGACAAAACGAGTGCTCATCATCGTGGACATTGGTGGACGACGACGAGAACGGTGCGGAGACAGTGCTGAACGGTGACCGGGGAATCACGGATGACGCCAGTGTGGGAAGCAATCGTGAGACTAAACTTCTGTTTCTGGATCACCAAATAAAGACTTGCATTTAAATTAATTCAATAATTGTTTGAAAACCGCGTCCCAGTATCGCCACTGACAGTGACATTGGCATCCTAGATAATGCGGGCGGCAGTCTGAACACGTCATTTTCCTCGATGCCCAGAAGGAGGCGTCCTCGCAGCTATCATAGAAAATTTACGTGTTTCAAATCAAGACGTTATCAGTCAATCTTCAGTGGCATTCCTTCAATCGCCAGAATTCACCCAGAGGCTCCTCATTAACCCTGCTATGTTTCCGGCTACCGTTCTTTCCGCCATCTTCTGCGCTTATTTCGTTCCGGAGAGAACAAATGTCCTTGATGAAATCTGATAACCCGTCTTCATTCATTATTCAGTTTCCGACACGCTCACATTGCTGCCTCAGCAAGGCACAATAGCAAGGAAAACGAGCAGTGATCTTCGCAGATTTTACCATTTTTGCAGAAACTCTAGAGACTTCCCAGTACCTCGAGCCGTGTACACGTACACAAGCGCAATTGAACGGCTTTCCGACTACCACCGGGTTCTCGTACGCCATACATGCGTCCTTGATCTGAAGCCAGGATCTTCTGTCGCTAAAGCAAGTACACATACCCATGCCTCAGTTCGCTCGGACACTGTCATGCATACCGAATCTTCTCCCATATGCATGATGGTGGCGTGCCAGCACAGAGTTTGGTTTGTCCTCAGTTTGGTTTGTCTTCTCAGTATAGACGTCTGAATAACATTTTCATCTCAGGGGAACCGCTCGGAATCCTCAACGTCGTATTCCTAGGGTTGCGCCCATCCTCGGATATGCTACACCATGCGTCTTGCGCGCAGGGAAAGTACCCCCAATGCATCGATGCATCCAGACTGCGCTCGCTATGGCAAGAGCGACGCCCGAATGCTTGTGAGCATTAAAGAATGCGGGTGCAGGCGGGTAAGGCAGCGAGCACACCGCACTGACCCGATTTCGAAGTGCAGCCATACATTTGGCGGAGACACGCACCCCTCATATGAACCCCAGAGCATCTTAGTCTGTCGCGAAGCAGACAACGCGGTCGGCCATGTCCAAAGTCAGTGAATGACATTTGACTCGCGCTGTGCACAAGGTCAGCGAGCGTTGCATTTGCTTCTGCTTAGCTCGTATCCTTGCGGAGTACGCGGACTTGCCCTCAACAGGGGTTCATACAGACTTTCTTCTCGAATCTTGCGAGCATGCAGAATGCTTTACCAGTAGAAGCGGGCCTGTGTCCCGCATCTATCAGCATCAAGCATTGAATTGGCCGCTTCTTTATGTTATCTTGCCGAGTATGACGTCTTGGGTCGAGGGCATTCACTTCGCGGGCCTGGTCGAGGCCGTGCTTGATTCTATTTCGGGGAGACTGCTGAGCGAAAGATTTCGCAACGATGGCGCGAAGCAGATGCGTCGGATTCAAAGCGCCTGCGAGTGTCCCAAGGTGGGTCAATTGAAGCCAATTATGCATCCAGACAAAATTTTCGCGCCCATGTGTTTCTCCCTTTGATCTAATTCGTATGATGATTCATACATTGCACGGTGAGGGATGTGAGTTGGCGAGGAAAGCTATTTGAACACGGGAATCCGAGAAGCACGAGAAGCGGAAGATAAGTGTGGGCGTGTGTGTGTAAGTGCGTCATCGCATTTCATTTCGCAGTCTATAGACCAAGGGCTGGGCGACGAACCCTCGTGCTGACCGGGGATTGTTGATGTATGTCTATTCTATTTGTTCTCTTCAAGTCGCAACGGAAGACTGGGGACTTAATCATTACTACGCGCACCAGCATCGGCGACGTATCCGAGCAATAACCAATTTTTCTGACGTGCGAGGTTTTTTTAATATGCTTATCGGTACCGCAACCCCTCGACTCTCGGACACATCGTATCAGAATATGCCCGCACCGGCTTACCCTGGCTTCCTGCATCGCAATTTGGATGAAGCGAGAACTGACTTAGCTTGGTGCCACAGAAGTCCATATGCTGACTATCGTGAGCAACAAGAAGGCTACGAAGGCATGATTTAACTCACGATGTCTCATGCGTGGTGGGTTCATGGTTGATGCCGTCAATCCAAAAGGCCCGGACATTGCTGGGAAAGCTGTACTGTTGCGCGCCACGATGCAAGCCCTCGCAAACGTGCGCGAAAACAAGACCAGGCATGCCTTACATTCGTCCCGCTTCCTTCCGAATATTGTTTGGCAGGAAAATTTCTGGTGCTCTCGAGAAATCCGCGCTCAACGGCTTCTGATACACAGGACCATATTCTGCAAGCTGCAACTCGACATCACGCTTCACTGGATTGGACGGGTGAATCTATGAGTTGCCTAAGCTGTGCCTGCACGGCAACTGACGGTTGACCCCACTCCGTGAGCTTCTGGTGCACTTCCCTGCGTCCTGTGGGGATTCGAATCTGAATTGACAAGATCACTGGTTGTGCTGCTTCTCATCTGTTACGCGTCAATTACTAATGCCAAAATATAGTTCGGGATGAGCTTAGATGCCTTTAAGGTTCATCTTTCTGCGTAGTCAACGTTCTCTGGGGGACAATTGAGATAAGGGGCACCACGTTCTTGCGCGTTCTCGCACGAGCTAACTAAAGAGCCGGAAGCTATTACTGCGTCCGAATTATTGTGATTTTTGGTGGATATATACGTGAGCACGTGGCTTTGTTTGTGGTCACGGGTATATGTGTGTCCAATCCGCTCACTTTCTGTTTGGACAGGGACCAATAATACGTGCAGTACCCGAGCCCTCCTACTGGTTTGGTTGGACGGTGCGCAATTGTGTTTTGACCAGTCCATCAGGTCGCTTGTCTGAGGGTACGTCCCTTGCTTTACGTCGCGAGGCATCGACAGGGTCTCTGGTTTCATGCTTTGCTCAGATGATCACTTCCGAAGACAAAGTGAGGCGACTTTTGTTGACGAAGCGCAGCATATGACTCAACTTTGCGTCGTAGCTGACGCTTTACGTGCATAAGCATGCTTCACAATCCTAGACCCTCGATTTCAAAATCCTGCAACGTGTTGTAGTCTATTCTTGCGTCTTAAAGATATTCCTAGCTTACGAAGGTGTCAAGATCAGTGTGCCTCTGATTGTTTACTTCGTATTTGATCTACAGGCTAAACTCTCTACTCGGAATTCGTGTAGAGCAGTCCCCTATCAGCCACAAACAACTTCTTGGGAAATCAGTGCTGCGAAGTTACTCGGTTAGGAAACACCCCCGATCGCTGACAGCAGCTTCTGTGTCTCTTTCGCAGCTTTAAATAGCAATATGCGATTATGTTCTCTGTAGGGCTTCAAGGCACTACGGTACGTATGCTAGTTCTCCCGCTAATGCTCTCATAGGATGCTTAAGAAGCTCTCTTCGACATCATCTATGATGCTACGTCTATTTCTGAAACTGTATTCACTTCCATGAAATGGACAAATGAAGCACATAATGAAGGCATGGAACGAGCTCTACTACATCACTATTGCTTGTTCATGTGCAATGGAGATCAGAATCCCGTCTCGTTCGGCCCTCAGAAGCAGCCGTCTGGACACTTTGCTGTGCTGCCCCACAATCTTATCAACACATTGAAGACCGCGTGTGGATTCTTCCCGCGAACGATCGAAGACGTTGGACTGAGCGTGGACCTCTGGTCGGACGGATTCAACAATAACCGGTCTTCCTTCACTTGCTGAACCCGACGACTGTTTCGATAGAAATCGGAGGTGCTAGTGCTACATCCGACCTTCGTTATTTTTGCCTCAATGAGGTCTTGTCCTCCTGCTTCAGTCTCACTACTAAATTAGGACAATTATGGATCCGTGGAGCTCGACATCAGCCACAAGTACATGTTTCGAGCGTCATTTCGCACTTTAGCGTCTATTTCAATTCATTGACTTACGACACACGCTGTACAGGATGCCTACGACCCTGTCTACGTTCTGTTCGGTGGGCGGCTTCTGTTCCGCAAAGTTCCAGGCTTGTGGCTCGTTTGTTGCCTTGCACATGCTCATGTTCTCGGCCAAGGCCTTGCGAAGATACTCTACACTGCATATGGTGTAGCGTCCGGGTTTGAGCAACTAGCTGCTCGATCGCTTGGATCACTATAGAAAGAAGTATGTCAGAATATGTCAGAAAGACGTCTCTGGTGGTCTAAATCCGTCTTTCTCCGAATGTGGGGGACGTGCGCGCGCATGGTGCAACGCGTCAGGTTGTACGTACGTGCTACGTCTCCTTGCATGCAATGCTTGGACAGGAACAGGGTGCCACTGAAATCTGAAGTGTTGGGTTTACCTCGCTCTCAAAGCCGGAGGACATTTCATTGCCTCTGAAAGCCTGCTCGTGTGCCTGATGAATATTGAAAAAGCAGCGCGCCCCCCGCATTCGCCGTTAGATGCCACATTCAAGTCTTTGGATCGGAAGTTTCGAATGCCTGCAAGCCGGTTGGCGCATCGTGTCTCTTACCCACGTGGCCGGGTGGCCGGGATTTTCCAGGTTATTTATCTTTCCAACGGAGTTCGTTTACGCGATTCGAATTCACCGTCGGTTGAGTTGGAGAGGGGCGCGAGCGCGCGTAGTCGGGGGTTGCTTCTCGAGGGTCTGGACTGCGCTTTAGTTCTGGAACGTGCTGGGGATTATTCTCTTTTCGCCGATTTGGCTTGCCGTAAATTGTCCTTGGATTCGGAAGCAAGAACAAGTTAGGAGTGGCAAGCCGTAAATGAATTTGACGCGTGAATGTAGTTTGGCAACACTGTTCTCTTTTACATCTCCGTGGATTCATCGCCTTGTTTTTTTTTTGCAGACACAAGCGGATGCGGTGAAATGGATAACAAAAGTGGGTGCGGTGTGCGTGCGAGATTGAGTCATCATAGCAAAAAAGAAGCTTGAGCGTTTAATAATGGCATGCGGTCACTGGTCATATCGTTGCAATCAATCAATGTTCTAGCACGTCGCCGCCGACCGTGCACGAAGCTATCCGTATAGCAAAACACGAGTTCGTGTACTATTCAGTCGATATCACAAATGGAGCAAAGTGACTTTTGACTTGATGCAGGAAAGGAAGAGAAGCTTAAGACCGAGAATAGTATTTGAGTGCCGCGTTGAAACGCGTCGGGTTCGGAAATGAAACTGGGCTGTCCAACCAGTGCTCTCGTTGCTGCCCGCCATTCATGACTTGGGCCGAGAGAGACCGAAAAAAGATTGCTAAGGGAGGTGGCCCTGACAAGATGAATAAAGAAGCCTTCGATGTATTAGTGGTGAGAACGCGAGTTTGCACTGACGACGTCACTCCCGCAGTCTGTTCAGTCATCGGAAATGGGATAGAGGCAAAGATAGAGCAGATAAAGGGGGATGGGGTTTGCGCATATGGACTCGCGAAGTCAATGGAGAGAATAGGAATAGGGCCGGGACGTCCGCATTCTCGTTATGGGATGGCGACCTCGCTGGCTTTTTCTTTCATCCATCTTCGCTTCTTCGACTTCGCGAGGGAGATGGAATTCGGTTGAGTCAGCAAGTGAACGGTGCGTTTGCGCGTTGCCGTCATAGCCTGAGCGGATGGTACCCACGGAGGACCACGGGCGTAAGAGAGGTAGAGTTACATCTGCATTTACATATAGTTACATACGGGAAGCATGTACGGCATGATAGGTAATTATATAGCGAGATGGAGCGCGCCGGACTGGAAGTGTATTTGACTTCGACTCGAGTTTTGATTCTGGACAAAAGAGTGAATTGGGGCAGACGAGCTGTTGGAGATGCCCCCACGTTTTGCCAGGGGCGGGCTGTATGGCTGTATGTACGGGGAGCGCAAAGTCCGAAGGGGAAGCGAGGGATGACGAAGTGCTGAGGTCCTCCTGTCTGGCTGCCGACAACATGGCGATAGGAGTGTTACATAATACGCGATGAGTCTGGAATGTGATTGATTCGAGACCTCGCCACGTGCAGTGCTCCTAATTGGGGTGCCTGCCATAATCGGGGATCGACGCCACACACACAACTCTCTTTCTCTCGTCTGCTCCTCCTCGCTCTCAGCTCTCCCTTATATAAACCTGCTATCAAGTTCACCATGCACCCCTCTTCATATCCCTCCCGTCGCCCGTCGTCTGGCGCTCAACTTATCTCTTTCGCCAACACAAGCGGTATCAACCCCCGCCTAACGGCCTCCCATTCATCCCACTTTGGCCGACGCCCTCATTGTATTATACATAACACACCCACCCACTCCGACACGACACGACTTTTATCACTGCGCTAACAACTTAAGTCTAATCTCAACGCAAAAATGCTCACTCAGTCGCGCCGACTTCCCGCAGAGCACTTCGCCTCCGACGCGTCTTTCTCTCGCGCACGCAGTAGGAGCCTCGCAGGTCCCATAGCCGTTCCGCTCGGCTCCGCCTATTCTGAACCGCGACACGTTCGCCCGCCTCACCGGAGGTCTGCAAGTACTCATCACCGTGACCCCGCATATGAACGCGACTATGAGCTCGCAAGGTCGCACAGCCGGCATGGTTCTGGTGCGTGAACATTTCCCTTTGTGCGGTGTGAAAAACAAATTTTAATACTATTATTTTTACCTACTCCCCTGACATTTACACGTCACTTCCGGTGTACACAGTTGGTCGCCATCCGGAATTCCCCAACGTAGTGCCTGCAAATATTGCTACAGCAGGCTCCAATTCCAGTCACCATTCTCGGGGACGGGAGCAGTCGCGCTCACGCGTCTCTTCTTCATCTTCCCACCGAGACACCTCTGCACACTCCATGACACGACCCAACGCAGTACGCCGTTCAACCTGGCAGGGACCACCTTCAGGTACGACATTCGCCCCTTCCCTGAAGATTCATCGCCAGCTTGCGTCGAATAACGGGTCTCCTGCTATTCTCTACGACGTTACACGTGCTCCGTCCCATGACAATATTCTCGCTCCACCACCTACATCCCTCTTAGCATCCCTTACACGCCGTTCGCGAGCACCACCTCAGCCAGTACCGGCACATACACTGGCTCTTCCCGCCACCCGTCCATTTGTGCCGTCACTCAGACTTTCTCTCCCTGCATCAAGTTCTAGCATGCCAGTTCCTCTTCCGCGCGATTGGGTTATTAATGCTGTCAGCATTGGTACAACAGACCCGGCACATACAGCACTCACGAACCTCGACGTTCTTCACGCTGTCTACTCTACTCTTCGAGAACCAGTCTCTCGCCGAGAATGGGATGCGCTTGGATCAGGCTCAAATGCACAACGCCGCATTGCCGAGGCGTACTCGAAAAGATGCGAGAGATCGGGTAGGCAAAGCGAATGGGACGCAGGCGTGAGGCGGGTAGACTATCTTTGCGGACGAACAATGATGTGCGGGATTGAGTGCCGACCAGATGGGATGTGCGAGCTCGTCTTCACGAAAGCCCACGCGTGAGCCATCCCTCTCTTCAGCCGAGCCTCGAAAGCTCGGTCTTGTAAAATCCAGTTGGACGTGTACTCCCTGGACTCACCCTTCCCTCTTTCCTTACGCGATTTACATTACCGCCGACCCTCCGACTTATTTTTTTCCCATTCTCTCTTCTCGTCGTTTGCTTTATATCTACCCACGGACAGGGACTATTGCGTCTACATGTGGTATATTCATGATATTTTTTCTTGATGACTCATTTTGTCCTGCTTGGCTCTCTTCTGGTTTCGGTTTTTTTTTTTTTGGTCTGTTTCGTTACTGTTGTCACCACTCCCAGCTACTCATACATCCCGAAATTCGTATTCCTCTCCTCGCTTCCCTTGTCCGCATTTTTTAGCATCACGTCTTCTTTATTCTTCTTTTTACCTGCTTCTTGTAAGATATCAATATCGCTATACGGCGGGCGTCTGTGTCACTCGCCTTTTACTTTGGCTTTTCATTTTCTTCCGTCTTCCATTGTCCTCATTTTGACTTCTTACGTCTTTCATGCTTTGCTACCTCCTTTTGCTTTCCTTTTTTGACATCTTACCTCGCGCATGATCCGTATGTCGCCTTTGTTATGCACGTGCATATGCCCTTGCTATCGAAACTATCGAAAACGTTCTGTTCCATGCTCTTCCCGTTAGGGGAAAAGGGGGGAAAAAGTTCTTTTACCCAACTGTATTTGTATTATAAATGGGAGACAGGACTCAGCGTGAACCCCAAAAAATAATAATCAGAAATTTCATTGTGATATTGACACTCAGAACCGGATGGATTTATGCAGATCTGGGGAGAGCCACAATATTACAGCAGTATTAACTCCGAGAAAGTCGGCTTAAGGGTGATAGACCTTTTCGAGATACTAGTATTGAAGTGTGTGTACTCGTGTGTGTTTCATTTACATGAAACAGTTTCGCCGTTCGTTGTCTAGAAGGTTAAAAAGGTACAACCTCAATGTCAGAGTAAATTTTTAATATTAACGTCAAGGCGCTCATAGTTACAACATTGAAGATCCTCGATATTGGGTCTTGTAAACAATATTAATACCAGCTCGATAGAGCGCTACGTAGTCATAGTATTGATTCCACTGGTATCCACGTATGGAAATGCTATGTATGAAAAGGAGACAAGGAGACGAAACGAGAGTGAAATGAACGTATGTATGACGTCGCTTATACAATAATGATTAAATGAAGCTTGTGGCTCTGAACATCCGGTGCAAACATACACACGAATAGTAATCTCCACAATATGAAAACGATTAATATTCTGGGGGAGGGGGACACGCTGGATCTTCGAGTCTAGACCTCTCTCCCTGATACAAATTAGTAAATTACCCCACTATTACTATTACACTAGTATTCCGCCGGTTACACACTCCTAAGTCCTTTGACTTCTTGGGCTATTCTTAACTAAACAACGCCACCGCGGACTTATGTTAGGTAGTATCGTTTCTCCATATGACAGCTACGTATATCAAGGGTTACGAGGGATCTCCGTGTACTTCCATCATTCCGAGCTCTCCCCCTAAAACTTGTTTTCTTTTCCTTATACAAGAGGAAAGAAGATCCCGTACTAGGACTTCAGGGACCAGAGTGGAAGGAGCGAAAGGAGGGGTACTACTAGAGTTGACTAGAACACACGTGTACTTTGTTATGATGATCTCACAATTTCATACATTCTCATGGCCTTTATTATTAGAGAATTGATTATTCCAGCTATACTTTCCTTTATCACTTTGCACAGTAATATGGAATTCTGTGTCATCCAAGAGTGCAAACTTTGGAGGGTAAGCATAGTAATGATTTAATTGCTGTAGCATTACAGGTTTACAGTAATACTTTGTATCTATTTCTCTTCTTTACAGGTGCTCCTTTATTATTCTCTTCATCCTGATAACTAAATATGTACTGCATAATCAGTACATCTTAAGTTACTTAATGCTGGAAAGAGTATGTCAAATATATATAAGTACTTACATATTGTCTGCCTAACTTCTAATGTTTGCTTGATCTGTGAGAACGTCTTGAAGGACTAAATAAACTTCCACTCTTAGAAGACCTCTTCTCTGATGGTTTCTTTGATTGACTGCCTGATTTTGAACTTTTCAGCACTGTTACATTCTGAACTTGACTAGTACTATCTTTATCTGATTTTTCAGATATTTTCCTCTCAGCACATAAAGCATTAATATTATCTAAAGCATATTTCCTATTTGTGTAATACTTTTCAAAAAGATTCTTTATTAGCCTTTCTTCAGTATTAACCTTTTCTTCCACTTGTTTTAATTGTTTTACAGCATCTATTAGTATTCTCTCATTATTTTCAGTCTTTTTTGAGCTTCTTTCATCTTCAACCCTCTTCTTAATATCTGCAGTCATTTTTGGATACTCTTGGATATTTTGTTTATAACTGTATTCCCAATAAGTATCATAGTGAATAAAATATTGACTGTCTCTTGCCAGTTCTATATAATGAAGCAACTTTGCAAGTTTATCAATCTCCCTCTCCTCCCAGGACTTGAGAATAAATTTATAGTACAGTCTAATTTGGGTATCAAGAATTTGACCACTGTGAAGTTCTTCACCAGTATCTTTGGCAGTATTATTATCTAGATTGAATTCTTTACAGAATGTGTTCATATTATCATCTATACCCTGTTCACTGTTCCTGAAGTCCCATTCTGGGCTTGTCCAGGACAATCGGTCAAAGCTTTGGCGTCTAATAGAATCCAAATCTTTCTTTTCTTTTTCGAGTTCTTTACAAGAGTGGTTATATTCTTTGACCTGGTCTTCGCATGGAAGTATCGAAGAGCCATTCTCGAGCGTGTTCCAGATTTGGTCCTCATAATTTTTCCTCTGTTGTAGCCTGTGTAGCGCTGACTGCACTTGAAGATACAGGGGGTGAAATTCGGCCTGGTACTTCTCATCAAATGCCTTAGACAACTTTCGCTCCTTTCGATCGTCAAGATGGGAACGCAACGATAACTTCGTCTTGTCTTGGCGAGACTTAGAGTCTTTTGACAGTATTGGCCGCGTTGCCTCATCGTCAGAGCCTGAATCGAGTTTTGTCCACTGTCGTGACATAGGTATAGTATTTATGTCAGCACCTGGTTTTATGAAGCGCTTCTGGGATATCTGTTTTGGAAGAATAGTCGTCGTTGCTTAGAGCAGGCGAAAGGGTTTATACAGACCATAAGTGTGACTTTGCATACTTTGCTCCTTAACTCACCATGCGATCTATTCCGGATAGATAGGTTAAACTGCAATGCTGATCTACCTATCGATATCCAGGAAATATCCAATGGTCAGGATGCACGCTTGCAAAGTATTAACCAGACTAACTTTCTCTTTCGCTCTATAAATGTTGCAGCAGATTCTTTGCATTGTTAAGGGCTCGTCTGCACAAACGGGCTGCGTATTGGTGCAAAAAATAATCCTGACACAAGAATTAACAAATTACGAGACTATGGCATTACAGGACTCTGCAATCACTCTGAAGAAAAGAAAGCGCAAGGTCGTCGTGTCTTGCACACACTATCACTGATCAGCTTTTCCTTGAAGCAAAAAGACTTTATATAAACCTGCCACCAAAAACACTAGAAAATTAGAACGTGCGTTATTCTTCCTGTACTGACGACACACTATTTGAAGTTGAGATAAGCGTCGACAGGAGATAAACAAGAACATGTGCATTGTGCTCAGCAAAAATGATGCTAATATGCGAGAAACAATTACTAAATATGGACACGCGCACTGGAAAGCCATTAGTGTTGCACTGTTAGTCAATCTCCGACTGCAATGATGTTCTAAGGCGACAACGCACTTTTACTCTACACTATTCACTTGATACTCTTCACAATCCCCTCTTCCGCTACCCAGCTAGAGAGAAATGACGACCGACGTACAACCCGTAATTCCCAATCCTGAATCCGTGCCTGCGGATCGACAACAAGAATCCACAACACCGAATATGCCACAACAAAATAGTGCTGTTCCGCAGCAGCAGGAAATAGATCAAGCGGAACTGGAGCGGGCGAAGGCGGCGAATAATAAGGCGCTTCAGGACTCTCGCGAGGGCATTTGGTTCCTCAAGCAAATTACTTTCAACGGTCGACCAAAGAAGATAGTTACGCAGAATTATAATGGGTACGTCTCGGAGCCGTCATTCACTCGTTCTTCTCGATCTGCTGATGTCTGATGCACTGTAACATCCACATGCAGGCCATGTTCCTTTATTGCGATATGTAAGGCTACTCTGTTTCCGTATGTGTGTCCGCTCAGAAGTCTGACGTGAGCAAGGATGCCTAGGCAATATTCTCATTCTGCGTGGCGACATAGAGATTCTCCCGCCAGAGCGCACGGCAGTGTCGTATGACATTCTCGCACAGATCGTCGGCGAGTATTTGCTGCATGCTTCCCCCGATGTAGACGTTTCTGCGGCGCTATCAATGATGCCGTTAACTCAGAGTACGTGGTTCAAGCATAATATATTCACGATCCACATGCCTCACTATTTGATGCATTCGTTCAGAGGGCATGGATCTTAACCCACTCTTCACATCTCCAACCGCATTCAGACCTGCGGGTGACAATGGCGCACTGAAGCTTTTCGAGCAAGTAGGGATTCCACTCGTGCACGGGTGGCTCGCCGATCCTACAAGTCCGGAGTACCATGTTCTATCCTCCACGGAGGACTACGACACATCTGTCAACCTCATTGTCGAGGCGGATACGCTTGCAAAAGGCCAGCTTGTCGTTGACGAGTATGCCCCAGGTCCGAGCTCACCAGGTCCGTCGACAAATCATGCACATGTAAGCGATTATCTGTCTGCTGCGGACAGGAAGAAGATTGAAGATGGTGAGCGTTGCTATCAGTCTGTATTGTTTTTTCTTACTTAATAATGTCTATGATTTTTAGCTCTTGTCGTTCGGAACTTCTTGGATTCTACCAGCTCTCAACTAACATATCATGGTACGCTTTATTCGCGGCTGGAATACGTGGACTTCCACTCACGATGATCCCATCTCGACCAGGTCTCTTCACCCTCGCTTCGTCTATCAAGCCCGGCACACTCGTCGCGCTCTTCCGCAACTCCCACCTCTCCGTCTTGCACCGACGCGCCATCCTACCACCAAGCTCGTCATCATCCCAACCGTCCACTGACCCTTTCTCCCCTCAAACTAGTTCGTCCTCAACTCCTCCAGAGGGAGATCAAGACCACGCTCTATACAATCTCGTCACTGACTATGTCTTCCACAACGAGCCCACCGTCGTCTGGGAACGTCTCGAAGACGTCGATGGTGGCGCATCATCCTTCGTCGATTCCGAATTCCGTCGATCTAACCCTGTCGGTGGCGATTTCGCTGGAGCGACCATGATTGACCCAGGTCAATACGCTGAATTCGATCCTGCAGAGTGAGTCGCAGTCTCGCAAATAGACTTTTCGCCCATCCTCTATAATTTGCTTATGCTGATGTATCATCAATACCGTCCAGCCAAGCACTCGCCCAACAGCTACAAGCAGAAGAAGACGCCCGCGCACAAGCAATCTATGCACAGCGAGAACAACGTCGGGCTGCCCAACAGCAGCAAAACCCTAACCAAAATCGAAACCAAAATCAAAATCAGCAACAACCTCCCTTTGACCCACGCGACCCACGTTATGCACATTACATGGAACAACAACAACACGCTCAACAACAGCAACAACAGCAATACGATCCTCGTTATGCAGGGCAATACCCTGATCAATACGGGATGTCACCAAGTCCAGATACGAATCCGAATTCGAGACAGAATCAGGGCCAGCGTCCGCAAAAGATGAAGCGCAAGACGTCGTGTGTTTTAATGTAGAGTCAGGTTTAGATTATGCTTAATTTGTATTTACATTCCGCTGCTTTCTCTCTCTTTCCTCCTTTACGGTAATGCTGTTAAGCTAGCTGTCTACATTGTTATGCATACCCTTTCACTTTGCTTTGTACGTACACAACTTATGTAGATGCTCGTAATTGACCAATACAGTAATGTTGTTTGCAGTCATTGTAGGTCAGTGATTATTACCAACAGAGCTGGGGGGCTATTCATACTGTACATATCATATTTTCTATCATCTACTCAGTGAAAAAATCAGAAGTTAGCCATTCATTCATTCATTCCCTTCTAAAAGTCGACCTTTCGACACCAATTAACCCTTCGTCTTCCCATCTCCATTTCCATCATCAACAAGCGCAGTCCGTCCCCCAAGCATAGCAACCATAGGCTTCAACTCCTCCCACCACGAACTCTTCCCTCGTCTATTCTTCATATCCGCATGTGCAATCATATCCTTCACAGGTGTAAACTCGACATTAGAACTCTGAATCGTAATCACTGCTGCACTTCCATCTGGTGCTTTCCTCTTCAACTCTGGCTGAGAACGAATGGAGTCGTGGTGATGTTCGAGGAAAGCCATGCATTTTAGGGAGAGTCGGACGGCACGGGCGCGGTCCATTGGGGAGGGGATGCCGCCTTGGAGGGTGTGTCCCAATGAGGCGAGACGGGAGTCGAAGAGTGCTCCGCCTTCTTCTTGGAGCATTTTTTGGATGAAGTCGGTTGTGAAGACGTTTGAGGCTTGTTCGTTCCTGTGTTTTTCGGGAAGATAGGTTGGAGTTGATTGAGTGAGCGAGTTGGTGAGGAGAGACTCATACCTCATGATAATCCGACCCTCTGCTTTCCCTTTCTCGTCGAGGCTGTACCGGAGCTTCAAGAACTCGACGTCCTTTCGCAGTCCATCAAGCGTAATCCCGTCTTCAGGCGTGTAGAAACAGACCGCACCAACCTTCAATCGAAAACAAAAAAATAAGTCAACAACTCCTCCTTCACACCCCAAAAGTTTAAAAGGAAACGATATACGCACAGCAAGCGCACCCATAGTAGCAATATACCCACACTTCCCACCCTGAGTCTCAACCACAAAAACCCTATTCCTACTGGCACTCGCACTCTGCTTGATCGCATCACAAGCATCCACAAGCGCGTTCAAACTCGTATCACTCCCCAAACTAAACTCCGTAACAGGTACGTTATTGCTTATCGTCGCAGGTACACAAACCATCGGAATATGGAACGCCGGGTACAGAGACCTCGCTGCATCAAGAATTTGTAAGGAGCGAAAAGCTTCGAACCCACCAATAAGGAAGAACGCGTCGAATCGATGTTTTTGGAATTGTGAAGCTACGGCTCCGAGGTCGATGTCTGGTAGTGTACGGTTTGTTCCGAGTTCGGAACCACCCCGCGTCATCCAGTTGTCGACGCGTAGCCAGGAGAGTTCTTCGATGTTGTCGTCGAGGAGACCTCGGAAACCGTTGTAGATTGCGAGTGGTTTGTGGCCCCGACGGAGACAGTAGCGTGTAGCTGCACGGGTTGCGGCGTTCATTCCACCTGCTGGGGCACCCATACTGGAGTACGATTAGACACTGTTCATAAATTTATTAGCATAAAACTCACTGTATGATTGCTACACGCATTCTCTGGGAACAAATCAGCGAATGCATTCGGACGAATAAAGCGAACGTACCTGATCCTTTGGCAGCTTCCTAGAGAAGTCGAGAGCAGAGACAGCTACAAAGCCTTCCAGAGCCTCACAGAATTCAGGATCGCGATAGGACATCGCCTTTTCGAAGTCCTTCTCGCCGATAGCAGTCGCGACAGCTCGAGTCTAATGCCAATTACTTAGTATCCGAGTACATAACACTCCACAATGACACAAACGCACCTGAGCAACGGCCTCCATCAACGGAACACGATGAATCTTATTCTCATGAATTCCAATCATATACGAAGGTGTATCCGGGGTCGCCTCAAGAAGCGCATCTACCGCTTCAACACCTTGCATAGTTGGCTATATGCGCATCAGCATTGAGTTGCGCACAAAACAAGATTGAAACACGAACCAGAATACGATCATACGCACAGGGCCGTCCACCGCGTTGAGTGTGCCCCAAGCAGGTAACTCGGGTATCGAGCCCCAACCTTTCAGTCAACACTTCCTTGACGTACTCCGCGCGAATGGGGTTGAGGTTCGCGTCGTGAGCGCCTTCTGCGACGATTACGATTGTCTTGCGTTTACCAACTTCTCGGTGCTGTGATAGTCATAACCAAATGAGATACAAAAGATGCACAAAACAAATTTATATAGCTCACACTCTGAATACTCTTGCACATATCATCCTCCCAAGGGTCCGCCTGTGGCGGCCTCTCAGGAATAAAAATAAAATCCGCACCAGCGCTCACACCCGCCATCAACGCAAGCCACCCACAGTGGCGGCCCATAACTTCCACAACAAACGCACGAGAATGCGAAAATGCCGTGGTATTAATGTTATCAATCGCCTCGCAAATACGATGAAGTGCGGTGAAAGCACCGATAGTGATGTCCGTCATGGACATGTCGTTGTCAATTGAGCCGACTGTACCGACGATCTTTAAGTGAGCGTGTCGTTGGGCTTGTTCCTCTGTTATTTGGTTGGATGTGCGAAGCTCGGTGACGAAGCTGGGCCATTCGGATCTGAAGACGTCTGCACCGGTGAGAGAGCCGTCGCCACCGCATACAACTAGTGAGTCGATGCCTTCGGTGATTAGGTTGAGCGCTGCGGCCAAGCGTCCTTCTCTCGTGCGGAACGCTTGTGAACGTGCAGTACCGATCAGGGTTCCACCCTGTAGCCAAACGTAAATGGGCATTTATTACATGTATCTACACGAGGAATGCGCACCTCAGCAAACCAGCCACGAACATCGTCCCATCCAACTCGAATGATATAGCGACCCTTTAAGCTTCTGCCTCCCGGACGGTCAATAGCATCTCCTTCTCCTTCTCTGAGCAAACGACCATCACCAAACCGAAGGTTGTTGATGAGCTTGTCGTCGACAAGATCTGCTGTATCAACAGCGTTATTGGCTGAATTGAAAACGACCTTGCGTTTCGGTGCATCGAGGTTGCCACGGACAAGGCCTTCGTATCCTTCTCTGACGACGTACGTCTCGCAACCCCTACACGGAAACAGGAAAGCATATGAGCGATATCACAGTGCATCCAATAACCCGAAAAAAACGCACCGAATAATCCCATATTTAACAACGGCACGCACGACAGCGTTCATGCCAGCACTGTCGCCACCGGACGTCAGCACAGCGATCTTTTGCTTAACTCTGGACATCGTTAGTTGTGCAGATGGTGGTAAGAAGAGAAGGTGCGAAATGGCCGCAACTTGGCGGGTTTGCGGCGAGCCAGTGCTATCTAAATCCGTGCTTGTTCCAAGATTCGCCGCGGCGCGCTGCTGCACTTGGAAATCACGCGTCCGCGTCTTTCTCCCTCTATCCTAGGCCTAGGGCTTTACCGACTCAACCGATTAATTGACTATGGTCCACCTACGCCTGAACGAACGCGAGACAAACCCCAACAAACACATAAATTTTATAACCGCCTTACCAGCACCGGAGATCCCGGAGCCTTACTCACAGGAAGATGCCCGTCAGCTCCTCCGTGCTCTTGCCGCTCAGGTTAGACCCATCATGAAAGGCCATGGCTTCGCAGTTAATAGTTTCGAAGAGGTACGTAGGTTAGTGTTCTCCAATTGCGGATACAGAAAGGTGATTTTGATACATGAATTAAGTATGAGTATAACCGAGTGTTCGCAGGACGCAACTGGAACAATGGCGAGACAGTCGGTTGGTCGACTATATATTATTTTCTTATACAATTCAGTTTCTAATGAGAATACAGAACTCGTCCTGAGGCGACCTGATGGGACCTTCGTTTCTATTCCATGGCTCTTAAGTACACTCTGTCATGAGGTCAGGATGCTATTATTCCCTTTGAGCCCAAGTTCACGCGCTGAATCTACGCCTTCAGCTTGCGCACATAAAGGTCCGTGAGTTCACTACGTTACTTGATTACAACTTGCTTAAACCTATGGTACTTAGCATATGAACCATGGTCGTGAGTTCCAGAGACTGTGGACTCAACTACGATGGGAAGTCAGAGCTTTGCAAGACAAAGGGTATTTCGGCGATGGTACGTCTCGAAGGACAACAACTTTTACTGGCTAATTCTTTTCTAGGCTACTGGTCAAGCGGAACAAGAGTCTCGGATTCTGTACGGGTCGGTGGCCAGGGTGTTGAAGATTACGATCTACCCGAATACGTCGTAAGTCTAATCTTTTCTATCGCTGCACACTACTTCAATAGCCATGATCTCAGTGCGGAGGCGCGCAAACTCGCTCACGTCCCAAATCCCTCGGAAGAAGACGCATGCATCGACGCGTCGCGGGTCCATCAAACCATACAGGCGCGCAAGTCGAGAAACGACGCAAACCTGGTACTAGAGTAAAGGCAAGGGGTGCGTTCAAAGGCGAGGGCCAGGCTCTGAACGCGGATATAAGTGATGGAAAGGCCAGGGCAAGAGGGACTGGATTTAGGAAACAGGCAGGAAGGTGTGTAATAGCGATTCACCTTCTGTATATACATATATCTGATCAAGTCTTTCTGTGGTATATTTAGTAAACGCGCCCGCGAGGAACGAGCGTTAGCCGCTGAAAGAAGGTTGAAGGCTCTCAAAAGTAAATATATGCTGGCGTCCCATCTCTGATAAATATTCTTGTTGACCAATGTATATCTAAATCCCTGTCTGAAGTGAAACCCGAGGACAACAAACCCACTCTCGATGAAGAAAGCGTCACAGAGAGCGACTCGGAATACGACGAGCACGCCTTCGAACCCACGGAGACGGACGACAGTCGTAGACAGACAATGCGAAGCTCGATCAAGGATGGCGAACTTAATAGTTCCCAGCAATTCATGAAGGATTTCCTCTCTGAATTCAGCCGACCAAAAGACTCGACCGATTCTAACGACGGCGACCTTAAAAAGGTACTTGATGCCATTGAGGTTTCCGATGATGATGAAGACGCTTGCGATATTCCTTCGACATCCAACCCGGTCATGCCTCAAGCTCCTAATCGAAAAGTGCTCGATGCCATCGATATTTCCGATGATGAAGCCACTTGCGACATTCCTTCGATGTCCAACCCGATTATGCCGCGACCTCCTAGTCCCGATAATAAACGGCCTACAAAACGTTTACGTAGTTCTCCACCTCCGCAACGAACAGCCGGGCCTTCCCGACCCACAAAGTCACCAAGCAATGCAATCAGATTCGGTCGGATCGCACAAGACGAAATGACAACTCGGAAGAAAGAAGCGTTGGGATTAACAGGTGGAAGGACGTTGGGATCACCGTCACAAGTAAAATCAGATACAACAACCAAGCATCCAACGTCCTCCAAGGACAGGCCTGTGAATGCTGATACCACTGGGTGGTCCTGTTTAATATGCACACTGTACGTGATATTGTTCTCACCAACCAAGAATGAATGATCGTCTGACGCGTCGCGACGCGCTACAGAGATAACCTTCCCAATCACCTAGCGTGTTCAGCTTGTGGAACTCCTCGCGGAGAGACCGAATGGCATCAATAACATCGCATATTACCCTTCCCATCCTGTATTCAAGGCTATTCCCTTGTACGCCCTTCGTTATTTCCTTAAAATGACTTTTGCTGTACCGTTATACTGTACGTACGTGAACACCTGTATTGACTACTGATCACACCACATCAATCTGAACATCTTTTTCTCCACTAGCATTCTAATACTGTCTAGTACATACCACATTGTCTCTCTCATAACAGTGCTCACTTCTTGATTGACCTCCTCACATTGGTAAAGCACTGTAATAAGAAGAACAAGAATGCTGCTAATCCCACGTGCTAAAAGTAGAACCTTGACAACACTTGTGAGCAAGAATCCAATGCTCAATGTATGAAATCCAACCACAATCATGTAGGGTAAGCTCTGAATATTTCCAGGGCCAAGAACTACAACCCCTGACACTTGAAGCCAAAGGGTCCAGGCAGAAAGGGAAAATGTAGCAAAGGGCCTGACTAAGAGGTTGTTAGGGGTGGGTAACACAAGTACAAAGTTGTAAGAGACACATGATGATAACCCAATATTCTGCCATTATCTGTCCTGCAGGTGTCTTTCCTTGTCTTCTGACAGTCAAAACAGAACCCAGAATACCTGTATATAGCATTAGCTGATACAATGCATATAGTGTCATTCTCCACTCATATAGACTTCCATGAGCAATAATATGTTAGCGTCGACGATAGAGGCGAAAGCAGCAAATTTTTCCCCAAGCCATGGAAGAACGTATGCTGCTCCAATCAGAATGCGCAGATGCGTGAGGCGGAGCACTGCATGGATAGCACAATGTGTGACGCACGTAGGCACATGTTCAAGACAAAGGGTATTTCGGCGATGGTACGTCCTAAGAAATATCGGCTCCCATTCGCTAATTCTTTTCTAGGTCATTAGTCAAGCGGAACAATTCGGTACGGGTTGGTGGTCAAGGCATCGAAGATTACGATCTACTAGAATACTTATGTTGTAAGCCATACAATTTCTACTGATATGCGCTGCTTTAACATTTATGCTCCCAGTGTGGAGGTGCACAAACCTCTCACGTCCCAAATTTCTCGGAAGAAGACGCATACAAGGACGTGTTGCAAGGACATCAAATCATACAGGCGCCGCCGCGTAAGTCGAGAAGCGACGCAAACCTGGTACTAGAGTAAAAGCAAGGTGTGCGTTCACAGGAGAGGGACGAGCTCTCAATGCCGATATAAGTGATGAAGAGGCAAAGGCAAGAGGGACTGGATTGGGGAAACAGGTAGGGAGGTGTGTAATAGTGATTCGTCTTCTACAGATCTCTTACTGATGTTCTCTGTGATATATTCGAGCCCGCGCGAGAAGAAGGTTAGAAGCACTAAAAAGGTAAATCCGCGCACGTTTCTCTCTGTACTGCATATTTGCTATAAATCAACATACTTATATTTAAAGGCTCTTCCGAACTGAAGTCCGAGGACAACGAACCCACTCAAGACGATGAGCACGCATTTGAGCCTTGAGAAACGGATGACAGTCGTAGACAGACAATGCGCAGTTCGATCCAGATTAACAAGCTAAATCGTTTTCAGCGATTCATGGTCGATTTCCTGTCTGAATTCAACCAACAAAAAATCTTCGACCGATTCCAACGACGGTGACCTTGAAAAGGTGCTTGATGCCATTGAGATTTCGATGATGAAGACGCCTGTGGTATTCCTTCGACATCTAACCCGGTCAAGCCGCGACCTCCTGGTCATGATGATGATCGACCTGCTAAACGTTTACGTAGCTCCCCACCTCTACAACGAACAGCTGGTCCTTCCAGGGTCGGATTGCTCGAGACGAAATGACAACACGGATGAAAGAAGCATTAGGGTTAACAGGCGGAAGGACGTTGGGATCACAAGCAAAACCAGATACAACAACTAAGCATCCAGCATCCTCGACTGATACTACTGGATGGTCCTGTTTAGTATGCACTCTGTACGTGATATTGTTCTCACCAACCAAGAATGAATGATCGTCTGACGCGTCGCGACGCGCTACGGCGATAACCTTCCCAATTATCTAGCGTGTTCAGCTTGTGGAACTCCTCGCGGGAAGACCAAATGGCATCAATAACATCGTATTCTACTCTTCGCACCCCGTAATCAGAGCTGTTTCCTTTTGTGCCGTTCGTTATTTCCTAAAAATGAGATATGTTGTACATTTGGGGAAGTGGTTGTGTTCTTGCGCGTTACATAACGCATCACGTGTAATTGTTGCTCCCACGTCAGTCCCTGCAGGCCACAGCACGCTCTGCACGTCGTCTGCGTCCAGCACTTACTCCTCGCCCGCGTTACCTTTCTACCGCTTTCACTGTGCTTTGCTCCTTCTATCACTGTTGTGTACGATGTCGAACCAGCCAGTCAATGGCGTACCTAAGACGCCGCGGCCACAACTGCCATTCCAGAGCTTAAACCCATATCTTTCGATGAGTACGTACTTTAGACGCACGTCGGATCGGTTACCTCACTCACAATGTGTTCGTTCTCGTCAATCAGCGGATACTACGAAACCCCCGACAGTGAAGTATCAGGTGATTACTCGCGAAGGCCAGGAGATCATCGTGAGTCGTGCTTGAGGGCTGTCCCGGAGAGCAGAGAATATCGTGTGGCTAATTCTTGATACGGCTTGCAGGTCGGAAGGTTGAAAATCCAAACAGTACGTTGCTATCGGTGCATACTCGCTCACCAGCTGTTCTAACCAAGACTTTAATAGCCCAACGACGGTCATGCTTTCGTCCTTCGCCGCTTTGACACGGGTGCCATTAGTCAGACAACGATGTTCCGCGCCGCATTCCCAACCGCTGGAGAGGACCTCGAGAAGAGTGAGTCTGCATGGGTGAAGCAGAATTATGATTCGGCTGGGGCGAATGGGGGTCCTGGAAAGGATAAGTTGCGTCTGGCCGGGTTATGGATCCGACCAGAAGTTGCGAAAGAACTTGCTCCGGCTTACTCGCTAGACCACATCATCACACCACTCTTGACGGCACACCCAGACCCGTCACAAGAGTACAGGCGCTCGCAAAGACAGACTGTGCCACAAGCAAACGGCGTGACCTCGTCGCCTGTAAAGCCGTCGAATACAAACCCACGGACTGATGTGGCTCCGTCCTCTCCACCTGGAAGCCCGAAGCCTAAGAGGCGAAAAGAATCTTCCCCCCAAATTATGAGTCCCAAGAAGGCACCCCTGGAGACGCTCCCTCCTCTACGCCGAAGTGCGCGAGTGACCAGCCCAACCCCTATTCCTCCTCCGGCTCAGGCTCTCGCTACACCCACAACACGTACTACGCGCACAAAAGTAGCAAAGACTCCCAAAGTAACTGCTGTACCAGAGGCGACTGGTAGATTGACTCCCGAAGAGGATGATTACGAAGGAAGCGACGACGTTGCCGAGGTTCCCGGGCCCGATATGCACGATGATATCGCGGAGCAGAAGGAGCTAATTGCGAATCTGAAGGCAGAACGAGAAAGCAAAGAAGCCACTGCATCCGAAGATGTATCTGCTGTACCGATTAAACAATCAGACTCACAAGGCTCAAAGCGAGCTCGTGAAGAGGAAGGGCAACCACTGAAATTCGAATTCCGCGAACCAGACGAACAGAATGCCGTTGCTAACCGCGAAATCAAGTCAAATCGGCGACTCAGTCTTGACTTGGAGCCTCAACAGAAATCAGCTGCTTGGGGTGCTCTTTGGTTTGCTGCTGGACTCGCTGCTGCGTAAGTTCCTCGAAGCTATTCTCTTCCATGTATTTTACTCATCGGGTCCGATTCGCAGTGCAACGATTCCAAGTTTCTTTATGTAACGAATCCTAATGACTACATTTATCTTTCTCGAATGTTCTTGTTGTTCTTCCCTTCCTCCCGTCGGCGTGTGCTACCTTCTCCCTCCTACTCTTCCTTCCGTGCTCGTCTCGTACGACAATCTCTCCTGTCAACACCGGAACCTTCTCCCGTGTCCATGATCTATACATTTTTCAAGACGGGTTCATATCGCTTAACTTTACTTAAGCTTTTTCGCACTGTATAGTTGTAACGGGCTGTCCGAGTCCGACCCGGGCAAAGTCCTTTTTTCTTTGTCCTATATTTTTAGCTAGCTACATTTTTTCTGTCCGTCGGTCTGTGGTTTGTCTCTAAAGGAGACTTCAGACATATTGCTATGCTTGCTATCTCTCATCTTTTCTTCTACTGTTGAAGAACTCCTCTATTCTAGTCCTCCTTCCTCCACCTCTTTTCCTACCTACTCGGCTGTCTACCTGTGTTTATATAAATTTTACTATCTTTACACCGTGTCTGCTTCGCTTGTTTGTGTTGCAAGATGATCTGTTTGTCATCGTTATACTTCGATGAATATGATGAATGTGGTAAGTTTTCTTGAGCAGGTGCTGTTTCTTCTGGCAGGGACTGATATTCGTGATTCTGACTCTACTCCAGAGGCCCCGGCAATGCTAGTTTACTAGTATCCACCAAACCCACAAACACAACGCACCCGAAACCCAATAAAGCACAACCAAAGAACCCAACGAGGGGAAGGCGAAAGTCGTTCTCGTTCTTCTGGAAGCAGGACCCGAGGTGGTGTTACTCGGTGACGGGATCCCGATAGACGGGCTCGGAGACCCATTCCCATTACTCGATGATTCAATAGGTATACTCGCAGGGAGGGTCGACACTCCCGAGAGACCGAGAAAGTCACACTCGGCGGAGTTGTACCCGTACCCGTAATTGTCACTTACAATTGTGTACTCCTACTCCCACTCGGTCCACCTAGGTTTCTCGAATGGACTGTATCATCTACTAAAGACTGTGATGTTCACAATTCAAGGCTTTTTGGTCTCAGGCTCTAGCAATATTATATTTCCAACATCTGCCGATCCAGAATAATTAATAAAACTAAAGGACAAACCAACATATCCAGAGTCCTCCGAGACCAAGAGACTGACAGCATCATATTGTACGTCAATGTCAGTCTGCAAGCACTAAAGTCCGATCTCAAGCCCACATTTCAATCAAGGCACCAAAAAACCAAAATGCCACCAAACCCAACGAGAATGCGAAAGTCGTTCTTCTGGTGGAAGAAGCACCAGAGGTATTACTCGGCGACGGGATCCCGTTAGACGAGCTCGAAGACCCAATACCCGACCCGATAGGTATACTCGCAGGGAGCGTTGACGCTCCCGTCGCACTTGGCGGAGTCGTACCCGTACCCGTAATCGTAACCTGGCTCCGTGTACTCCCATTCGCACCACCGGTATTGGAGGCCAACGCGATAGGTGTAAGCTCAATTGACCCTGTTAATGACATCGCTGTCGTCGAACTTCCCGGTACGACGATCGTCTCAGCACACACCGCTTGGTTGTTTCCTGATAGAGTACATTCGGCGTTGATGAGGAGCTCGGAAGCGATGTTTGCTGTTTCGGAGATGTGGGACGCGTCTTCTACGAGTGTCACTGCTCATATTGCAAAATCACATAAGTAACCTACAAAAGCCCACAAAGAGTGTTAAATAAGAAAGCCGTGATGAAACGTACTTGTAAACGGGATCGAAAATGTATCAAACGTCCCAGACAGGACGTACGTAGTCCCGTCCGTTCCGGTACCTACAACCTCTCCCTGTAGTCCATCTCCTTCGAAGCCAATGGGCAGCAACGAAGCCGTTGACGTTTGTGCTCGTACAGCTGAAAAGGGGTACAAAACATCTCATTGATGAATAACTACGTCATCGAGGCTGCTCATTCCTGAAGACTCACCACTGACAAGCGCAAGCGCAAATAAAGTCGACGCAATCATACCGAGGGCAAGAACAAACTCGCTGGATGGCCAGAAGTTGACACGGAGTATTTAACAGCCCGCCCGTCAGTCTCGTGCCTTGCGGCCTGGGACGTGCTGTGTAACATGTGTACAAGGCCATCCCTTTTTATGTACTTACATTGTTTGAATTATAAATAGTTCCATCAACCCATCATTTTCAAATTCGATTTGATTTGTTGTCAGCTTCCAACCTTCGCGCATGTGTGAGGAACTTACGTCATAACAAGGGATATAAAGGTGGAATGTGAATAAAATGAGTGAATGCCGGTATGACGCCTGTTTGGTAGCCTAGGTCAAGCATCAGTTATCTGGTATGCATTCTTCTCTTTTCAGAAAAAGTGATGAGCTGTAAGGAACACTGAAAGCGCCGCAGGATGTGCGATGTCTGAAACATTCACACGATGGACGGGATGAAATACACGTCCGAGATTGATTTTCATTTCATGCCAGTTGTAGGAACGGCGGTAGATGTGTATTGGCATGAATCTGGTGGCAAAGGTCTGGATGCTCCAGGCATCATTCGGACACTAGCGCTATAAATTTTAAATTTCTGCTTTCTGGCACATAAGTTAATTAGTACATTCTGCATTGAAGATTGAAAAAATAAATAAATAAATTGTTCCGATCAACCGAACGGGAGTTTTCCAGTGAAGCAGACGATACCCTGATTAGCGCCTCTCGTTTTCCATAAACCTTAAACGTCAACCAAACTCGCCAAAAAAGCAAGAAGCGCCAACCCGAACGCAATACGTGCATTTTGCAAAGCATCTGAGGTGTTTCCGGAACCGCCTGCTCCACCTGAGGAAGTGGAGGACGCGGTTGTAGAGGTTGTGCTAGTAGTAGACGCCGAGATACTTGGAGGCAGTGTTGAGCTTCCACTGCCCGACGCTGCGCTTGTGGTCGTGCTATGTGACGTCCGGCTCGGTGTACCGGATGATACAGAGACCCGCAGGAAGTCGATGGTGCTTGTTATGGTCGTTGCAGATGTGGATGATTGAATAATAGCTTTCTGGGTACAAACTGCATTCTTGCCAGACAGGCTACAGTCGACCTCAAGGACCTCAGCGCTTTTGAGTACGGCGGTTTCAACGACATGCGTTGCATCTTCTACGACAGTCACTGCAGTAACTTGATGAGTATTAATGAACTCCACAAGAATGAATGCCGCTCACTTGTAAATGGAGTAGTCAAGGCTGTGAATGACCCAGACAGCACATACGTGGTGCCATTTGCTCCTTTGCCTACCACCTCTCCTTGTAGTCCATTTTGCCCAAGTCCTGGTAGAGCCAATGAGGTAACTGACGCTTTCGCTAGTGTAGCTGAGGAAATCGATGCAATAAACAATGTTAGCAATAATTGTGATGTCATCGCATCTCAAGACTCACCAAACGTAAGGACGAGCGTAGAAAAAATCGACAACAACATGACTTTGGGGAAATCAAATGCAACGACGTATGGTCCGCGTCGCGGTGTTTAAGAGCTGCGGGTTTAGGCCCGTTAGGGAGTCGTCCGTGCCATGTTTATATAGAATGGGGAACAGACTTAAATCACCTTCTGTGATATTTTTAGCCTTATCGATTTGTCAAAGATTGGCATTTTATGATGTTAAAGTTTCGCATCACCGGAAGATCAACTAGAACAAGAATAAAGAATGAAGCAGATGCACTGGTCCAACCAGTAAGCGCCCTTTCAACTCCATGGCAGCTTCGCACAAGATTGCATCTAAAACACTTGCATCGACGTCTTCAGTTGTCTTCAATGTCGGTTTACAGAAGATATTCGAAGCTACCAGAGATATCTGTGAGTCTAATCAAGCTCACCCTCCACTTTGCTTGTTGACGCGTTATTTGGCCCTATTCTCACGGCTCATTAGAGCACGTGAGCAATCACATTACCGCGACGCGACCGAGTCTTGTCGTCCTTCACCTTCACAATGCTCGACGATGAACAAGAAGCTGAACTCCGTAATCCGTTTCCATCGCCTCCATCTCACTATCAGACGTACACGAGCCATAATTTACACCTGCTGTCGCTATTGAAGTCGCGAACTTCAGAGAAGTCAGAAGAGGATGCAGCGAAAGTGGATCAGCATGCCGTCCTCAGTGATCAGAAAGATGTGCCTGATTGGCCTTTAGCGCAACTTGAGAAACCTCGTGTTGACTGGATATTAGAGGACGGAGAATATACGGTCTTTGGCGACACGTGGTTTGTGAGTGAAAGCCACTCTGACCCGGAGAATGGTTGCTAATTTGTCACTGTCAGGTCAAGGAGAAAATACCATCTCTAGGTGAACTTGGAGGCCAACAGTTATACCCAGATGACCCAACTATAGGTAAGTTGTCGCCCTTTCACATGTGTGTATGGGGACTGAAAATTATACCAGATCGTAGACCTGCACTATTGTCCATACTTCGCTCCATGCTCATCACATATTCTCGCCTGCTCAAGTCACTTCTTGCTCCTCCGCCTGGACCCACATACACCGAGCCACCTGAATGGCAGGGTCATGTGGAATGGCTTGCTGTCATGAGTCAAAATATTATGGGTGCGGCAAACGATTTACGTCCTGTTCAGGCGAGATTCAATCTCGAATCGATGATGACGCGACAGCTTGAGCTAAGACGCGAGGAGACGGCGGCGCTTCATAGGTCAGCGTCAATCGATAACATCACGCATACTTGTCTCATGTCGCGAGCAGAAAATGCGACGAACTTCAACAAAAGCTAGCAGAGCTCAAGTCGACCACTTCAATTAAGGTGAGTTCGACTGTTCTCAGGAGCTCATACAGATGATTTAAACGTCTCAGCAGGGAAAGGTATCCATATCATTAGTATTGCATTAAAATTTTGGGCAATAGCACTGATGGATTTGGAGGTTGGCGGATTGCAGAATAACCCGAACAAGCCACAATCGGTAAAGGACAGATATACTTGTGCTGAGATTTGACTTTGCTGACGTTCATACATCAGTCTCAAAATACTCGCCTTCCAAGCATGGAAGACGTCTACCGATGGGCTGAGGGATCATGAAAGGATTTTGTAATCTAACAGAGGATTCTTGTATTTGTGAGCGGTTCCGAATCCAACTCTGATTCGTTATCTTATTTGCGTTCTAGTTAGTATTGATTTATTCGATGTAGCTTATGGCCGTCAAGAGAAAATCTCACTACAGACAGTCAGGAACCATGGTTCTGGCGCGTATATGCATCATCAGGTCAGGACTCGTGCGATTATAGGCACCGGCTTTAGAAAGACCGGACGAGTTGATCAGCTCGAGCTCATGCTTCCATCACTTGAGGCTTCCGAGCTAACGTTAAGGTTCTGCATGTTCAAACAGTCCTACGTCGCAAAGCGTCATCTGGGCGACTAAATGCCCGAAAACTGGTAATTGTGATGCTGAATCACCTGTTTCGTTCTAATCGGCGGATCCGATGTACGTGATCAAAGTAAATCATTCAGCAGAGATCGTTCTAGGGCGCTTGGAGTGCTTCTACTCGTCTTCGGACCTGATGGTGTAACTTCTCGTGGGTATAATGTGGATCGAACATGCCTTGAACACCGAGTCTTTATAACTGAGCCGATCTGCCCTTCTGCCCCTCCAGCCTTGCTGCTCCTCCACCAAAATGCTCGTACCTACTGTCCTGCTGCTTGCTGCTCTTGCTCCTAGTATGTGCTCTCGCATTTCACTGCCCTAGTCCGTCATTGATGCTAATGATGCTTGGAACGTTTGTAGTCGCTCGTGCGGCGACTGCAACTATTTTCCCAGTTGGCCTGGGCTCGGGAGCGAATCTGGAGGGAGAAGTTGTCGGAACTGGTGGGGAGGACGGCACCACCTACATCCTTAGTGGACAGACGAGTGGCATTGCATTCACACGTCAGTCATCCCTCATTTATCATTCTTCTGGGCATCTGAACCTGTCGTGGCTAAATATAGTTACGCTTGCTGAGGACGCCAGTCGTGTCTCCGAGCACGTCGCCATTCCTTCAGCTTCGTTTGAGCTCGACGTCCAGTGTGATATTAGTGGCGATAATGCTGTGTGCCAGAATGTTCGAGCTCAAGGCACTGATTTCACTACGCTTGCACCCACCACGATCCCGTTCTCTCCGTTTGCGGTTTCAGTTTCTACAGGAAACCGTGCGGCTAGTTCGACTACCTCATCAGCATCAGCATCTGCTACAACCACGGTTGCAGCATCAACGTCAACGTCCGTGTCTCATTCTGTGACAATCATGTCTTCAGTGACCCCCTCTGTTAGTGCAACAACCTCTTCAGGTCTGTCACCGTCGGCGACACGACCTGGAGTCGCTTCCAGCCTTACGTCATCGAGCACGTCACCGAGCACGTCTCCTTCCCCGACTAGTGGCGCTTCTAAGCTATTCGTCACAAAAGTAGCTACGATATTTCCCCTAGTCGCAGTGCTGTGGATCTTGGCCTAAAATTGAAGTTTGAGCTTTATTTTTCTTTCTTGGACTTTGCGGATTGATTGTTGTTGTGCAAACAGACTTTGTTTATCTTGAAATTGGTTGTTTCTCTTTATGTCTGATTTAGGTAGTTTGAATGAATGAACGACGATTGATTTCCTAAAGTGAATGTGAATCTAAAAGTACAATGTATGAAAGGGACGTGAAGAAGGTAGAGGAGGAGAGAAAGGGAAAATGTGTATAAAGTCATTGCAAACTTGAATGTGTTCCAGGCAGGGACTATAAGGGCCTCGTACTCTCTCTCAAATTAGAACAAGTATTTGTGTACCTTTGGTAATGTAATCCAAACAGGGAGTACAACAGCTTTGTACTTTGTCAAATTAGACCAGGCATTTATGTACCTTCAGTGATGTGATCCAGGCAAACCATTTGACAGAAACTGTTTATTATTATTATTAAGTGCCCGGGACACTTCTATTCACCTTTACTTTGCCAGTATAGCTTGTGAGCATAATATGGGTAAACATGCCTTGAACACTAGGTCTTTATAACCGGGTCATTCCGTCCTTCTGCCCCTCCAGCTCTACTTCTCTGCCACCAAGATGTTTGTAACCTCTGTCCTGGTAATTGCTATTCTTGTCCCTAGTATGTACCCTTGTAAACTACTGATAGCTAATTACCTCATTATTGTCTCTGTTGCTTTGTAGTCTCCTGGGCAGCTCCTGCAAGCATTCTTGCTCCAGGTGTAGGTTCAGAGGTGAATCTAAAGGGAGACATTGTTGGAAGTGGTGGTCAAGGAGGCATACCTTCTACACGTTAGCCACCCATTCTTTTTTGAATGCCCAGACTGGTCTATCTGACTTCTCCAAAGATCTTACTAAGGATGCTGAGGCTAGAAGTAGTAAAACCTCCAAGCTTGGAATATGTATCTGCTATGGCAACTGTCATGGTTGCAAGATGTTACAGTTCTCCACTCTTGTACCTTCAGTTCCAAGGGTTCTACACCCTTCTGTACCAGAACTCAGGACTTCTGTCCCTCAGGGGCACTGTCTATGGACTATATGTGTGCTGACTCTTGCCACTACCCTTCCTTACTTCATCATTCCATTCCTTTGACCACCCCTTCATTCTTTGTATCATTCTATAGTCTCTTACCCTTTGTCCATCCCTTCATTCTTTGTACCTTTATCTTTGACATTCCTTTCTTTCATTCTTCATAGCTTATCATTCTTAGTGGCTCATGCTCCCTGAGTACTCTTGTGTAGTTTAGTATATATAAGCATACAAGATCAGACTAGTCCTGTAGTCTTGATCTTGTCTACTCCAGGTAGTCCTGTACTCTTAGGCTTACTCTATATACTCTACTCTTGTCTCACTCTCTCTCTCTGCCTGTTCTGTGAGTTCTGACTATGTTCTAGTGCTTGTGTTCTGTATTTCTGTTGTGTAGGATAGTTGTAGCCTGGGTCCCCTTACTGAGCCTTCAGGTCCCCTCTACACTGTTGCTGACATTAGATCAAGACTACCCATTACTACCTTACAACTCTCTTACATTTCAGGCATTAGTACTTGCCATTGTATTAATCTCTTTCCTTTGTCCTGACCCTTTTACATTTTTAAACTTTAAACTTTCTAAACCCTTTTAAACTTTTACCACCCTTCTTCTATTCATTACCCCTTTTAGTTTAGTGTCAACTCCTTTGTAGTATAAACATGGACCCTACTATACTGACTGCCACCCCTACTGTCCTACTAGATCAGTAGTTACAAGTAGAGTTAGCTTAATATGTGTAGACCTCTATCTAAGAGGCCTTTGCTAACTATGTGCCCTCAGCCCCTTTGGAACCTGTTCTGATTGTTCTAGAAGTTACAACCTGTTCTAGAAAGAAAGTGTATGTAGCCTACCCTTTAGACTTCAATAGGTAGCACTTTAAGGACTTCCAGTACTAAGTCAAACTATACATGACTGTTACTTCAACCAATCTATCCTCAGATCTCAATTGTGTCCTATTTGTCCTCTCCTTTATGAAGGAAGGTAATACAGCCACCTGGGCCTAGAACTGAATCAAAGGTCATTGAATCAGAAGCCTGATCTGACTTTAGAACAATGAGTTGTACTCAGAATTCATAGGGCAGCTCTGTGCTTCCTTCATTGATCTGAATGAGAAGTGTAATGTGTAGAACAAGCTTGTGTCTCTACAACAGGGCAAATGTTCTGCTAATGCCTTCTTTCAGGAATTCAATATCTTAGCCTAGAAGGTAGGATTCATACTCAGGTTTAATAATGTTCTTATCAGAATGCTTGAAAAAGCTCTTCACCTAGAACTAGTCAATAAGATTCTTAGAATAATACTGGAACTAATTACCTACACTGAGTAGAAGACATGTACCATCTCCTTTGACCAAGCTATAGTTTGGATGTGTTAAGTCTGTACAGAACACTCACACATGTGTTTAGCTCTGACAGTTCTGAGCCCTCAGATTGATCTGCCTGTAATTTGTGATCAATCTGTTCTGATAGACATTAGAGAAGCCTAAAAGTAAGGAGTATGCTTTGCCTGCAGAAAGTTAGGGCACCAAATTAAGGACTGTCTACAGAAGTAACAGTACATCTGTCAGGTTATTAGAGTAATAATGAGTGATGAGTAGGATTTGTAGTGAGAAGTCCTTTCTACAAATTTGGAAGTCACCTTAGAACTCCTAGACCCTGACTATGTACTCTAGGATTTTGTAGAGGCTTAACAGTGAATGTAGTGCTGAAAGGCTATGACTTGGATTTTTTAATAGCTACTTTTGATTCAATGGACACTGTAGGATTAGAAGTAAATAAAGTAAGAAAAGTAGAAAAAGTAGAAAAAGTAGAAAAGATAAATCAACAAAATTATTTATTAGAAAGAAAAAAGTCAAAAACAAAAGTAGATAGTTCTCCTATTTCTTCTGATTCTTTTGATTCTTCTCTTCACACTTTATCTGAGTCTAAATCTGTACAATCTGACCTACTACTTCTATGTTCCAAGATCTTGGAACGTTTAGAACATTACCCAGCCCTGTTTACTACTCAGTAGTTTGTCTATAGTATCAAGTAGGGATAGTCTCAGCTAAGTTCACAGCTGAGGACATAGGTCTGTCCTTGTTGAAAGAGAGAGGTTAATAAGGAAATGTTAGTGTATATACTTACCCTCTCAGACAACAAGGCTATACAAGCTGTACATTCCCTTCAGAACAAGTAGTAGTTTATCTAAGAACATTCTAGACACTAGCTCTAGGTTCTTATCCTCTTAGCTCCCTTCTTAGGATCCCCCCAGATCCAAACAACAACTCTAGTAGACAGTAGATACACTAGTTCATGTATTAATGAGGCCTTTGTGTAGGAACACTACCTCCCTACTCAATACCTTCTACTTCCAATCCTAGTATACAATGTAGACAGAACCCTAAACTGGAATGGTTAGATTACTGAGTTTGTCTAACTATGGATGACCATTCAGGATTATAAGGAAAGTATTGAGTTTAGAGTCACCAACCTTAGAAAGACAGACATCTTTATTGGATTTGAATGGCTTAAGGCTTACAACCCTACTATTAACTAGTTAGAGTAGACACTTATGTTTGATTAGTGTCCCAAGTCTTACAGCTACCTTGTACTACTGTTCTGAGTAGATACAAACACTTTCAATGTTACTAACAGTTCTGATGAAGGTGACTGGTTGTTCTTCTTTGACTAGGATAGATATGTAGATACATATTCTAGTCAACACAGAATAGAGTTGATCCAAAGAATGTCTGAGACAGAACCAGTCTGAAACCCTCTCAGAACAACTCTACTCTAGAATGTACACAGACCCAGCCTGCCAGATTTTGTCTGAGAGTTCCCTAAAGTCTTCAGTGAAGAGGAATTCAACCAGCTTCCTAAACACTGTCTCTAGGACTATACAATTGAATTGACCAAGAGTTTCCAACCTAAGGATTGTAAGGTCTATCTACTTAACAGAGACAAGTAGGAGGTGCTTAATGAGTTCCTTTAGGAAAATCTTCAGAACAGCTGGATCCAACCCTTAAAGTCCCTTATAGCCTCCCCTTTCTTCTTTGTCAAAAAGAAAGATAGGAAGCTCTACCCAGTCCAGGATTATTATTGTCTCAATAAGAGTACTGTTAAAAACAAGTACCTACTCCCTCTGATTCAGGAGCTCATTAATAAGACACATACATCTAGGGTTTTTACTAAGTTGAACATTTGATAGGGATACAATAATATTTGGATCTGAGACAGAGATGAGTGGAAGGCTGTGTTCCAAACCAATCACAGATTGTACAAACTAACTGTAATGTTCTTCAGACTAACTAACTTGTCTGTAACATTCTAGTCATTCATGAATTACATCCTTGTAGATTTGATTAACTTGGAGTATGTTAGTATGTATCTGGACAACATTCTGATCTTCACCCAGACAGTCAAGCACTATTACTGACTGATCTGAGCAGTTCTACAATAGCTCTAAGATAATAAACTGTTCCTCTAAGAAGTAAAGTACTCTTTTACACAGGAGTCAGTAGATTATCTAGGCTTCATGATTGGTGGAGGAGAGGTCTGTATAGATCTGACAAAGGTGACTACAGTTTGGAACTGGCTACAACCTTAGAACCTGAAACAGGTCCAAGCATTCCTTAGGTTTACAAACTACTACTAATACTTTATTCAAGGCTTTAGTACTATTACCCAGCCTCTTCACAATCTCACTAGTAAGGATGTTCCTTAGTAATAGGATGATTAACAGTAATCTGTGTTTGAGTCCCTCAAGCAGGCTATTACTAGCAAGCCTGTATTAGTAGTTCTAACAGTTGTAGACAAGTTCTGAGTTAAAGCTGACTCTTCCAACTTTACAAATGGAGTAGTACTGTCCTAGTTCATTGACAGAAAGTAGTGTCTGATAGTGTTCCAATCAGAATCCCTCTCTATAACAGAACAGAACTACCCTATCTATGACAAGGAACTCCTTACAATTGTCTGTTCCTTAGAGGAGTAGTGTTAATATCTCTTTAGTACTGTACAGAAGTTCAAAATTTAGAGTGATCACCTTAATCTTTAGTACTTCTAGACACTCTAGAAGCTCAACTACTACTAAGCCTACTAGATGTTAGAACTGTAGGACTTTGACTTTGTGCTGACCCACAAACTCAGAACACAAATAACAAAAACTGATTTACTCTCAAGACAAGTAGGTTATAAAAGGGGGGAGAATGATAACAAAAATCTTGTTCTCCTAGACAATTCCTGTTTCATGTCTGAGACAATCCAAGAGATCCAACTCAAATCCAAGGATGTTGACTTTATCACCTGTATACAGTAAGCTCTAAGACACACACAGGACTAGGTTGTAGTAAAGCAACTAGAGAAGTAGGCTAGGGATTGGAAGGAGGATGAGGATGGACAGGTTTACTAGGAAGACTGACTGTACATTCTGAAGGATTGGAAACTGTGGGAGAACATTATCTAAGCTCATTACAACAATCCAACTGTAGGACATTCAGGCTGACACAAAACACAGGAACTCATCACTTGGAACTACTGGTGGCCTAGAATGTAGAGGGAAATCCTAAAGTATATAACTAGTTGTAATACATGTTAACAGACTAAGGCCTACCAGACAAGGGTTTGGGCTCCCCTACATCTGTATCAGATTCTGGATCACTCTTAGGAAGAAGTCTTGGTGGACCTGATTAGTAAGCTACCTGAGTCTTAGGGTTATAATACTATCTGTGTGATTGTTGACTGATTCTCCAAGCAAGTCTATACAGTTCCAACCTGAACAGAACTCACTTCTGAAGGTATAGTGTGTATTTATTAGAATCATGTCTTCTGGTTACACAGACTCCCTTGGAAGCTCATTCATGATTACAGACTGTAATTTGAGTTGAAATTCATACAGGACTTGTATGTGCTTCTCAGAATTCAAGGGAACCCTTCTACTACTTATTACCTGTAGACTAACAGTCAAACTGAGTAAGTCAATCAGAAGATTAAGCTCTACCTCTAGATGTTCATTAATCATTAGTAATCAGATTGGTCTGAATAGCTAGCTCTGGCAGAATTTGTGTACAATAACTGGCAACACTCTACAACAGGACAGTCCCTATTCTTCCTCAATCATAGGAGACATCTGTACTAGGGGACAGTTCTAAACTGGAACAGTAGTTCTGAATCTGTAATAGACTTTACAGAACAGATGTACAGAACTAGGGAGGATGCATGAGCTCTTTTGGAAAAGGTAGTACAGGTTATGAAGCAGAACTATGATTGGAAGAGGTCTGTGGCCAAGGATTACCAGCCTGGTGACAAAGTTATACTGGAAGCTACTAACCTGACCATGGATTGCCTAATGAAGAAGTTGGACAACAAGTGCTTCAGACCCTTTGTTATTAAAAAGAAGGTTAGTGCCTCTGTTTACAAACTCCAACTTCCAGCAACATGGAAGCACATACACCCAGTGTTTAACAAGGTCCTACTGTCTTAATACTACAATCCAGGTTTTCCTTTACAACAAAGACCCCTACCACCTCTACTGGAACTCATTGGTTCTGAACCAGAATATGAAGTAGAGTATGTAGCAGATGTTAAGCTAGTACACAGAAAACTCAAGTTCCTTATCCACTAGAAGGGATACCCAGTTGAAGAATGTACTTGGGAACCTGCTGAGAATCTCACCCATACTACTAAGGCAATCCAAGACTTCTATCAACTTCATCTGGGTGCTCTGTGTCAACTCTACCTCATAGATTTCCAAACCCTACTATTCTGACCTATGCCTGAGCCACTAACCAAGCCCAATACTCACTAATTGGGATGATTGGTTTTAGAGGGGGGGTGATGTTATGGTTCTCTACTCTTGTACCTTCAGTTCCAAGGGTTCTGCACCCTTCTGTACTGGAACTCAGGACTTCTGTCCCTCAGGGGTGCTGTCTATGAACTATATGTGTGCTGACTCTTGCTACTACCCTTCCTTACTTCATCATTCCATTCCTTTGACCACCCCTTCATTCTTTGTATCATTCTATAGTCTCTTACCCTTTGTCCATCCCTTCATTCTTTGTACCTTTATCTTTGACATTCCTTTCTTTCATTCTTCATGGCTTATCATTCTTAGTGGCTCATGCTCCCTGAGTGCTCTTGTGTAGTTTAGTATATATAGGTGTACAAGATCAGACTAGTCCTGTAGTCTTGATCTTGTCTACTCCAGGTAGTCCTGTACTCTTAGGCTCACTCTATATACTCTACTCTTGTCTCACTCTCTCTCTCTGCCCATTCTGCAAGTTCTGACTATGTTCTGGTACTTGCATTCTGTATTTCTGTTGTGTAGGATAGTTGTAGCCTGGGTCCCCTTGCTGAGCCTTCAGGTCCCCTCTACACTGTTGCTGACACAAGACTTGCAACACCAACATCAATGTGGCCTGAGTGTTGACAACCGTGAGGATCAGTGGCACATCCAAGCTACTTGTTGCAAAACAAAATAATTCCCTTAGATGCAGCAATGTGGATCTGGGCTGGAAATGTTGTTTCCAACTTCTATATTTCTCCTTCCTTGAGTTTTGTGGAATGATTGTTGTCGTGCAAACAAATTTTGTTCATCTTACTTGATTGTTTTTCCTCTGTGATCTAAGTAGTTTGGGTGAATGAATGATGCTTGATTGCCTAAATCAAATGTAAAACCTAAAAGTACAATGTGTGAATGAATGGAGCGTGGAGAAGATAGTTTAGGAGAGAAAGGGAAAATGATTTGCAAAGTCGTACAAGATCATAAAAACAATTCCATGAGGAGACCCCGAGAAGAAAAGAAAAGAACCATGAAGATCAAACAAATTCAACATGAACCACTATCGAGCCCGCTTTCTTCACCACACTGGCACCATCGGTTTCGCTCTCATCCGACTTCATGCTTCCAGTCTCGATGTCAACCATACAGTTCGTCCTGGCACCGAACAAACGCTTAAAACCACTCTTTACGCCCTTCGCAAAGGCTACGCAAGCATCCTTGGCCAGGACATGGACCCTCAAATGCGCAACGAGGCCAATAAGAAGTATCACACCTCCGTATACGCAGAGCACGATCTTCGTTGCGACGGAATTCCACTGCATGCACGCCATTGCGGAAATAGTATATAACACGGTGATGGCGGGGAGTTTAGTTATGCATGCAAGGATGACGCGACCACAGGGAAATTCGTCTATCCATTTCTGTTGATGTTATTAGTTCCTTATTAAATTAGGTGGAGCCGCTGGTAATATAAGCCTACATGAAGTGAGTCCCCAGTCATCGCTTCTAATGCAATATAGATGATGAGACAGAAAAGGAGACACGCAACCGTTGTCGAGATGAGCATTTGGTTCTCAACGAAACTGTTTTTACCAGTGAGCAAAAGTCAGCTTGCGAATTTGAGTGCTAGATACTCACAAGAGAACTGCAAGGAGCTAACAGATGCGCATAAATTTTATTGTTAAGAAAAGGAATTCACTAAGTAAATTAGGCTCACCGTTTCAGCATAAAACTTCGTCTCTCGGATCGTCCGCTTCAAAATCTCGTCATAATCATGCGGCTTAGACGCCAGCGTCAAGCGCGCATGTGGTGTAACAGAAAGAACCAAAGTCTTAAAAACACGAAGCGCGGAAGAAAGTGAGGAAGTGAAAGCCATTTCGTTTACGTTTCGCGTTTCAAAGAGGTAGTATAGAATAATAAACGAGGATTGTGAATGAAGAGATCAATGAGTTCAACTCCTGGCACAGCCGGGGAATAATCGAAAGGGAGAAGTCGTAAGGGGGGTCGTAAAGGTGCGTTAAGATGCGTTAAAGACGTAGACAGTTGCGAATTGGAGTTTTCGTTGGAAATTTCATGGCCATTTTATATTCCTGTTTTCCGTTGGAGGAGCATGTAGCGGAATAGGAGACGTCGAACGAACGGCAGAACATACAAAGACGTTGCCGAAATGTTCATGTGGTCGGTCGAAGACATGTAGGCAGTACGCCGAAACAGCTTCTCGTCGAGGGAAGGGAGCAAACAGCCAATGAAGTATGCTGTATCAAGTATCAGCAATGGAGGAAGTCCGTGACTAATCCTCCAGTGAGCCCTAAGAAGCTAACTACGGCCAAAGAAGCATTGTCAAGAGACTTCTGCCGACGAGGCTGAGCACTAAGACATCACGTTAAAACCAGCTGCCTGAGAATAACGCCGCGGTCTACAAGGATAACTCCAAGAATCTTAAGACAGTGCAAGACGAAGAACAATAAAGGTCATGAGAACTTAGATCTGCAGCGTAGGTTTCGAGATTAAGACAAGTTGTTCAAATATACAAAAGTAATTTGCTTGGGATGCAAGTTAGAAACACTGAAACGAATGTCTCCCAGCGATAGGATTCAATGATTTGATCGCTCTCAGTCTGAGGAAACATACGGCCACTATAGACCAGTATGGTGAAGCAAGCCTTGAGAGAAGATGTTTTGACCAAGACCTCGGAGTTCCTGTTGTTGCCGAGGAAGTAGATGCATCGTTGACTCGAAAGTTCTTCTTCCGTGCCGCCGACTTCTCCCTACCCTATCTTTCCGCCGCCCAAGCAACAGACAAATGTCCGTTCAGACCGAGAACTCGTCTGATCCGCGAGAGGCTGTGAATGTCTTAGATTTAGCCAATTCAATACGACAAGCTGCATTCTGGTGCATACGGCTAGCGATTGATAGAATTGTCGAGATCCACTGAGAGTTGTATCAGCTCATAGGGTTCCTCCATAAATGCACCTTGTTTGTTGAATATAGGAGCAAGCTCGTGTGGTTTCAATAACTACAGCAAAGTTGCATCTGGACCTCCGAGGATGTCATCAAGACTGCAATAGGAAATTTTGATTTCGTCTTGAACCTGCCCAGTTACCTTTCTGACTGCCCACCATAGTCTCCCGTGACCCGGCATTCATACTCACTCCAAGTCTGGGAGGAGAGATACGGAACCCGTCGCGAACGTGATGAAATGGAGAGCACGTGCGCGACGGGAATGGCCGAGCTTGTGTTGTTTGCACGTGTGTACGGGGACGGTCTGGTCTCACCGCGCCACTCCTTTGTTACACCGAACGTCGCTTCGGCTGACCTTCCATCCCGTCAGTCTCGCATGTCCCCCATCCTTTTATCCCTTCCCGTCTCCCCGCCGCACTCCGTCCCGCCTATAACGACGACAACGCATACGTAGCTCACCACCATTGTCCATGAAATACATCGAGTTCCCCGAGCTCGAGCGTCTCTCCCAGGCGCTTACCCACGAGGGTCCCGAATGTTCCGTCCACACGCGCATCGAGGCATATAGCTGCAAGAACGTAAATCGCGACAAGAAGCTATTTCGCGCACTCGAACATGCATACGCAGAGGAAGCAGCACATTCACCGCCCCTACCATCATTCGCTGCCCTCGACAAAGAGGCAGACAATACACCCTTCGGTCCGATGGACAAGCACGCCTCCCGGAAGACGCTTTACTCGTTGATCGCAACCTTAAATATCGCCTTTCCCGACCATGAGTTCGCGGGTGTGCGACCGGCGCATTTCTGCAAGGAGCACAGCGGTGCCGGAGTACTCAATGCTTTGAGTACGACGCTCGTTACCGCCGGCTCAAACGGATCGCCGACTCAGCGGCCTGGGATGCCTGCACCACGCACGTATTCAGCATACCCACCCACGTCTTCCGACTTCTTCCCAAGCTCCTTACCCACCTCCTCATCGCCTGTGAATAGTATGATGCAAAGTCCGCTTGCACCACCTCCTATAGTAACCGGCACGCATCCGACGCTCTTCCGAGTATTGGACGAGGTCATCGGTCTCGCCGACTGCGAAGTATATTCATACGTACCCGATATTGCATCGGATCCGCATGCTACGGACTATTCCGACAACGAAGACGAGCCTGCTCCGGCGGATGACGATGATTCCCTATCAGAGTCCGATGACGAGGTCTTTGCCTTTGACGACTATGATGTGGACGAGGTGCGGACGTCCCGCATGACACATATGAGCTCGGGTGGTATTGATATCCCAAGACGCAAATCTTCGGATACAGATTCAGACGGTTCACCGTTGCGCGTAAGACTCCGTCGGCGCGGTGCGCTACTTTGGAGTTCGCATTGGTTTTTCTTGAACCGCAAGCTCAAGCGAATATTGTTTATCTCTGTCTGCGCACGGACGAAAGGCGGACACCAGTGGATGAGTGATGACGAAATTGTATATGGATCACCAGAGAGGTTGAGCAGTAACGAACGGTTCTTGGGTTGGGAAGGCTCCGCGGGAGCTGGTGCACGTGCGCTCGGAATTAGCATTAAGAGTAGTGCTTGAACATATCTGTGAGTGGGATTCGTGCATTTCGGACCGTGACTTACATACCTCGAACTCAGATGTACACTTGCCTTCTGTTCACTTATCGCTTGTATAATTAGCGGATTATCTCTACTCCCCACATGCTTATCATCTCGGTTCTTCCTATCCACCTCGTGCTCTGCTCCCTATTTTCGACTTTCGCCGGGAGCGAATGGGCCTCTTGCTTTCTCCCAATTTATTTTTCTTTTGGGACTTGTACATGTAGGCTGTTGTATGCTCTATCTGTACTGTGTGGACTGTACGAACATTTATATCCATATCTTCTATAATGTTATCAGAATATGATATTATCAGCATATATGCGTGGTACTGATATTGGAGCAACTTACCATCCGCTTAACCGAATTAAATACGTGATACGCAGATATCCACCTTTTCATATGTGCGTCGTGCTGCCAGGCTATTTGGCTCAGACCAGTAAAATATTGTAAAGTTCCACTGTAAGACGTTAAGATATTGAGCGCAATAGTTTTATCCAGACTCACCGCTAACAATCCACGAATGGGATATCGTGCAGGGTGGTATGGTCATGGTCCTAAGGAAGGTGGTCCATCCATGTAGACGGACCAGGAAGCCGTCGTCCACCAATGACTCGAACGGCGTTCACCTTGTACGTGACATGACTCCGTGTAATCTTCACACTTCTCCTACTTACATCTCAATGTCGCTTGTTCATCAGAATGGCAGTGGAGGACAACAAGGAGGTAAAGGGGCCGAACCACAACGTGACGAGAGCAAGAGAGGACGTGGTTGAATTTTGAGCTGTACGATGAAATTGTGCCGGAGCATCGATGATTCGACAGGCGGAAATTTTGTGTGAAGAGAGAGACCTTCCAATTTTGGATAAAACTAGTCGAATTACTTCCTTATGGAGGATACTCGGTCTTATAGCATTGCATACTAGTAGGGTTTATCGGCTCACTGCAACCAGAGATCGACGCGTACCATTCATTTATAACCTTCGCGCATTGATCCAGCTCGTTCGCAATACTCAAGTGGAACGACGACGACAGTCGCAATAATGGCAGACGAGACGGCCAATCAAGACGCCACTCATATTCTTTCAGAAGAATCATCTACGGTTAAGAAACCAGAGACGAATGGCGTCCAGAAGCGCGCGACAGTCGTGCTAGATCAGCCACAAAGCAATGAACATGATCACGAGCCAGACAGCGACGACCCTCAAGAAATGGAAGATGAGCAGGAAGGCGAGGAGGACGATGACACCGATCTATTGCAAGACCTCCCAGATGACACAGACGTACGCATTCAATCACCTTTCCCGCGTCTTAACAACTTGCAGATACTAACTTCGTGGCTTCGTCCACTTACTTAAAGGACATCTCACTCATCCACGCACAACTCCAAACACTCCAATACCTCCGTCTACAACGCTTCGGCCCCTCCCTAAAACGCCTCTGTCTCCGTCAAAACCATCTCACCTCACTCGATCCGGAGATATTTCAAGCACTCGTCGAGCTTGAGGAAATCGACTTTTATGATAATAGGCTGAAAGGGATCGGTGATGCGCTTGACGCGTGTTCTAAACTAAGGTGGGGTCCAATATTCATTATAATATACGATATGAACATTCAGAAACGGGAATGTAGCATTATCGACTTGTCGTTCAACCTACTGCGGTCTATACCTGATCGTCTCGACCGTTTCCCTTCCCTCCGCACGATCTACTTCGTGCAGAACCGGATCTCGCGTATCGACGGCTTGTCGAGCCTCGGTGCGACGCTTGTAAGCTTAGAGCTCGGTGGAAACAAAATCCGAGTAAATGCTTCTATTGTCGCCACCAAACGAATGAATAACCAAGTATATTTGCTTTTAGAAAATCGAAAATCTAGAAGCTCTAATAAACCTAGAAGAACTCTGGCTCGGGAAGAACAAAATCGCAAGATTAGAGGTACGTTCGCACCTCATTCACTAATATCTTAAAGAAATATCTAACAGTTCCTTTTTCAAAGGGACTAAGTACCCTGCAGCGGTTAAAAATCCTATCAATACAGTCCAACCGAATTGAGAAGATCGAAGGGCTTGAATTACTATCAAGCCTTGAAGAGTTTTACATTAGCCATAACGGCATAAAGCGCATTGAAGGGTTAGAGAACAACGTAAGTATCCTTCGATTAACAAAAAAATCTGGAACCTGACTTGCAGTGCGTGTTCGCAGAAGAAACTACGCGTCCTCGACGTCGGAAACAACTACATCGAAAAGTTAGAAGGACTTGAGGGACTTGACGACCTAGAAGAACTCTGGGTGCGTCTTACTCTCCCCATCTTTCTTCTTATACTCGATCTCAAGGATTCGTTTGTTTCGTATGAAGGCATCGAATAATCGCATCACGACACTACTAGACCTCGAACCTCAACTAGGCAAAAAGGAATCATTAGAAACTGTATACCTGGAGGGAAACCCAGTACAACAGCCGGAAGGAACAGCATATCGGCGAAAGATTAGTTTAGCGTTGCCACAGTTGAAGCAGATAGATGCTACGTGAGTAACTGCTGATCTTTATCACTCGACCTGGAGTATTTATCCTTCCTCTAATTTCGTAGCTATGTAAAACAAGTGTGATCGAAATGGAGCGGATTTATTTAGGTAGCGGTAGTAATTGTACTTGGTTGAGACTGCTGTATTTTGCATGTTGATGTTCCTTGTATTGCTCTGTGTGTGTGGATTGCAGTCTTATTTATTACTTCCATTTACACTTCTTACTGCTCGTTATAGCTTGTCAACCGCAATGAAATTTCTCCTAAACTACATGCAGTCATTGGATTTCTTTCCCAAGTCTTATCTGCATCCGAAACTTGGTATTTATTACGTAACCACCATTAGTTGATTTGAGTTTTACTTACACGATAGTAATGCTCTTGTTTTCCACTTTCCACGCCGTCCCTTTGAGACTTTGACGGCTTGACTCTGCTTTCAACATTTATAATCGACTACTAAAGCTGTCTTTGACTGAAGTTTATCTGCACTTTGGTCATCCTCTGAGTAGTGTACTGCTGCATCGGATCGTTTCCCTACTCGCCGCACGACTTGTCACCTGTGCTGTTGCGCTCAGGCCTCATCATGGAGAACTCAGGCTCGCACCACCACCTTCTACTTGATGCTAGCTGGCCTTCATCTGCCTCGTTGCATTGACAATAAGAAGAAGCTCCTAAGCGCTTTGGAAAGGACCCACTCTCTAAGGGATCTATCTGATGCTGCTCGGGTACGCCTTGCACAAACCTCGTTTACTTTCTGGAAATTCATGGCGCTGGTTCTGCTATCAGTGTCTAAGCGCAAGTATCTCATCGCCATACGATAGCCGCCTCCAGAGCAGGGTGTGTCCATTCAATGAGCATCGAGGTGTTTATTGGACACCGCCTTTGTTGACTATGTCCCTAGCTGCTTTTGCTTACAGGACGCTTACCCACATAAAACGCTTTGTACAAGAAGGTGAGTGGTCACACTGCACGGCGCCAAAGCACATGTCCTCCATTCTTGGCCTGAAAGGACCGGCCAAAGCAAGTACAGGCTGCGTACTTATAAGGATCGAAACGTATAATTGTCTTTATCCGAATCATCTCTGTGCACCCTCCGAGGACAACGAGTTCGTCTGGTCCTTCTGTTCTCATTGACGGTGCAGTACTCTCTGGATTTGGCGCTCTTCGTTTTCTGTCCTTGGAATCTTGAACTCGTTTCTCATCCCCGATGCCATCGTCGCCTGCGAGATCCTCCAAGGGAACGCCGCCCAAGGGGAGTCCTAGGGGAAGTCCTAGAGGAAGCCCTAGAGGAACGCCTGTGGGAACACAATGCCATTCACACCACTCCTCCTATCCGTCTAGTTCGCTATATTTCGTATGGAACGAATCATGGCAATCGCAATATTTTTGCCGCGAGTGCATGAAACGATCATTCAAAATTGATGCAGCCACTGTAGCCGGTTGGTTCACGAAACTCGGAACTGCTCTTGTGGAGGGTGTAAGGGCCATCCATTCCTACCTTCTTGAGTTTCTCAAGTGATACTCACAAACGAATACCAGGTAAAAGCAGTTGAGAGAATCTGTTCTGTGAAACCGTACGTGACTGGCTTTTGGGAAACCATAGACTTCGACGAGGTTAGTTATTGACAAATAACGATCTTAAAAATATACTGATGCTCGTTTTTTTTAGTATTGCGCTGGACCAATCGCAAACCCAACGCCAAAAGAAATCGAGGGCAACGAGGTATACATTGTAGCATGGGAAAAGGTCGCAATCCTCAACTACTCGCTCTGGCCTCAACTATGGACTCCAGCTTTTACAAATGAAGATGACTCAACTTGTGAAGATTATGGTCACGACATTGTTGCGGAACCAGAGCACCCTATACAATTCGGGGGGACGTTGCGGAGCGAGGAGTATAACTACGCGCATGTCATCGTATACGCCCTTCTCGTGATATCCCGTGCGATATGCTACGTGATCACTAGGGCGGCTCGGTATATGCTTCCTACTCCTTGGCGAATTCGCAGAGACATTGCTGCACGTTACGAGTTATACAAGGTAATTCTGAAGTCCTGCGTTGCCAGGATATGCGAGATAAGCTGATCAACGATTAACCTAGGTGCCTACTTTACAACAAATTGCAGATGCTAATACCTGGGGCGGCGATGGAGATGAAGTTTACAAACCGCTTAGAAAGAACCTAATACGTGGTCCTGAAGCACTAAACGCTGCGCGGAGAGCTGGGTTCACATCTGACATTTAATTAGCTTTCTTCCTGAGCAACTTAATTTGTTCTTCCTTAAAAGCATTCTGCTCTTCACATTCAGACTTTTTTGGTTTTTTGGAGCGTGTCTATTCGAATTTCCGTTTAGGATGATCTAGTTACATCCGACCGTTTTTAGTGCATCTCTTGCGTTGGACATCGTGGCTTGTATACGATCAATGTTAACGTTCGATACGACCTAAACTATGCGTTTCTCTCTCAAAAAGGTCGGTTAGTTGCGTCTAAAGAGAAAAGAAGCAGGACGTGATATACAGTAGAGTGTAATCAAATTGCAACGGCTATTGATGATGTTACGCAGGCATTTCATTACTGAAGGTAAAAAGCGAAACCAGAGCAATGTAATTCGCTTTAATATGAAATTTACGAGATGAAAGGAAATCATTTTATATTGATTGAAGTCTCCTGTGCCTGTACACTCGTGGTTATCGCACTAAATATTTTCGACAGAACGGAATTGTGGCATATACTTTTGAATTTCTGAGCATAGACAAAGCATTCGCTGCTAAAGGAATTTTCTTATAATTCTGACACATTCGCAACTCTCGTGCATGGGAACCTTAGATCAGATGATGGTGGGCTTGTGCTCCATTCCCCTGCTTGCATAGTATGTTTCGGGTCCCTGATATAGGTAGAATCAGAGTGGTCTTCTAAGACGCTTGAAAAATGTCACATACTTTTCTGTTCTTGAGCCTGGAGTTCTTCACTCTCCTTACATACCATTCTCCCTGAGTTACACCTGGGTTGTACCTTGCCCTTTCCTCAGGAGTCATGCGAAGGAGTGCCTCCTTCACTGCATCACCTTCTTCCAATGCTCGAAGAGGTACATTACTCGCAGGGCGCGAGAAGAGAACGCAAGACCAGCGTGTATATGCGCCTTGTGCACCGGGAGGCGGGACAACGCGATGCATACTCGAGGACAGGATACCGCCAGAGAACATCGCGAGTGTATCACCGATATTGCAGATAGCATGACCAGGAATGGGAAGGATATACTGCCATTCTGAGGTGCCAGGAGGAAGAACTTGCAATCCGCCGAGCCGATTGTGCAGGAAAGAAAGTGATCCAACGTCGGTGTGTGGACCGTGTGTCACTTTATCCTTTTCTACTATGCCGTCAAGATTCATGTTCTTCGGCGGAGTCTTGATAATCCGAGCATCTGAGCTACTTTCCTCGGTGAGCGGGTGAAGTTTGCGCAGAGCACCCTCCGGGAGGCCGAGTTTCTTTTCGAAGACGGAGTAAATGGTATGGATGGCCTCGTCAGCCTTCCGAACGAATGGGATGATAGTTGATTGCATTCGTGCGTAAACTGTGGACGGATAAGTACGATAAACCACATTAGGATATGCGATTGCGTCATCCTTCGCGACATTAATCATTTCGTTGTTGTCGGGATTGCCGTACTCGTTTGTCGCCATAGCTCCCATAGCCTTGTATCTATTACAGAAAAGGTTGGTGCAATGAGGCTTGAAAGAGTTTGGAGAGCTTTACCCAAAAACTCGTCCTTCAACGCCTTGGTCAAACTTTAGTTTCTCCTCAAGTGGTAGGTCCATTGTCTCAGCACCCATCTCGAACATCCCTTCGACTTCATTTTCGACACCGTGGGTTTTCAAGCTACAATTATAACAGTGAGCCTGAATGAACAAAGCTCGAAGCGTCGCGGCACTTACTACCAGAATCCCAGGTCTGTCGCAGCCTTCCACAGCTTATCAATCTCGTCAGAATCGCCTGCTTTTAAAAGCTCATAGTCGACGACTAACAGGGGGTGGGTGGGTATGTTGTCCGGAAAAGGAGGAAGTGTGAGGCCAGGCATATTGAGCAGACGTCACTCTTGAACTAGATGCACCCACGGCAGGCCCCAAGCTTGTCGTCCTTATATACGGCGTGTCAGAGCTGTAGACTCAGTTTAGACCATGAACTCTAGCTATTCATTGAATGTTGACGAGCCGTCTGCGGAATTTGAACGTGAGAGGTCAGATGAGAATACTGTGTGAGTCCCGTAAGCCACTAAAGATAGAGGGTCCACAACGACAGTTCTATACATTCTAAGATATGACGAAGGAAAGAACCAACGATTCGGACCAGAAAACCGAGCTTCTTTGTACATCAGCTGAACAGCAGGAAGGCCGCGTAAAATAGGCATCTTATCTTGTAGCTTTGAGGCAAATATATCCAGGGGACTTTGTATTTATGGGTCCTGGAGCCGTCATGCGCTCCCCCGATGAACCCCGATGTCAAAACCGAGGATGTACGTACCGACCGATAAACGAGACGAAAGTCACGAACCAGATATATATGCTTACAGCCGTTTTCAAAATTGTTGTCACACGCGCGATTCGTGATTTTCGTCACACTAAGTACACTCAAATACAAAATCTACTATATCTCAACTAATACTTAACCAAATTATATGATCTAAGTTGTAAAAATTATGTTTTTAAATTAAATTTCATATTCCAGAAAAACTAAAGTGAAATGAGCAAAAATTGAGCAAGATACAACACAAAATGTGAGTTTTCCCTATATTTCATGTATATGAGTTTTCCTGGCCCCAAAACTGATTGTACAATACTATAAGCTAATCTAAATGATGAATATTACTTTATTATTAATTTACATATTGAATTATAACTAGGGTACAGAGTATACATATAAGTATAATACATATTTAAGTTTGCTAAAATTGAGCATTTTCCCCTAACCTCTCTACACTCAGGGAAGCTTCTCCTGAGTACTATTTATGTTTGTAAATTCACTCTAACCAAAACATATCAGATATGAGCACTTTTATAAGTTATAGTATAGTTTTATAAGCTAGAGAAGTACTGTCAAAGTAATATGTATAATAATGACTTACTACTTAATCTAGACTAGAAATCCATGCTAAAACTATAAAA